CAGAGGCACATTTAGGGTTAGAGTTGGAGACATCTAACCCTAACCTTAAATGCCTCTGACTCCAACCCTAAATTCTTACACACTGGATTTCTGTAATCTGAGCTAGGACTAACTTAGTAAAACAATGGTACCTGTTTAGTAAGTAAAATTTATATTAAAGAAAAGTATTTATTCATTTTCTTTTATCTGCAGTAACATAAAATCTAAATTTCATGGTACACCTTAGTTGGAGAAACATTGTAGTGTGTGTGTATGTGTGTGTATGTGTGTGTGTGTGCATGTGTGTGTGTGTATACTACTATTATTTTAGGCTTGCCACATTTTGCCTTCCACATGCAAAATAAAAAAGGGACTGCTCTTTCCTCAATGAAAAAAAAATCCATACTAGATAGCTATATCAAACTAATGCATAGATTTAATTTTTTTTAAGTTGATTGTAGGGGGCAGCTAGGTGGTGCAGTGGACAGAGCTCCTGCCTTAGAGTCAGGAGGACTTGAGTTCAAATCATGATACATAGACCAGCTGTGTGACCCCTGAACAAGTCACTTAACCCTGACTGCCTCACCAAAAAGCAAAAAAAAAAAACCCAAAAAACACAAAAACAAAACAGAAAATAAAAACAAAGTTGATTATATGAAGTGTTAAAGTTGATGGAGTAATTCTCTAAGACTTCATTGGATGTTGGATCTCATCCATTGTGGGCCATTCCTTCCAATAATACAAATTCTAACTCATCCATACCTGCTCAGCCTACGTGAATTTTTCCCATGTCTTCCCATAAGGTTGCCCTGGAGTGTCCAGCCTCTGGGGGCTGGAGTCCTTCCTCACTTTCTCTTTACATGGAGAGAACACATAGGCTCTCCATTGTTTATTTTTGACCTTTACCTTATGACCCACTTATCTTCCTTTCCTTCTGCTTCATCCTCACCAGCATAACCATCATTACATAAGTTTTAGATTTGCAAAGTGCTTTCCATAACACTAGCTCAGCTGACCTTGAACTAAGTAAAAGAACACACCTGTAGTTGTTTTTTTTCTACCTGATTCTCTGCAAACAAGAAAGATCTTAATAAATTACTGCCATCACAGATCAAGGCAGCATACCCCCCCTCCCACCTGCACAGCACACCTACAGCTGAAAGAAGTCTGACACCCAGAATGCTGGTGCATTTCAGGCTCTTCCCACTGTAATCTTGACAGCTGAACTACTCACTGCTTATCTTTGGGAGGAATAGAAAGTCTGACAGTTATAGTGACAGAAGTAACAAAGTCATGTAATACCACAAAATATGGTCAGGAAACAGTTTGCTAAAGACTTGTAAAGTACTCCTTGTACTAAAGGTTAAGAGGAACTGCCAACTTGCTTCAGGGATGTGGTGGGGGGGAGCTTCATGTGATTTTATTAGAAGAGGGATTCAATAGCATCTCTCCCCGAGTGTCCCAGCTATGTCTTTGCTCTACTCTCTCTTTTGGCTTACAGTTGTCTCCCAGAAAGATTCCTAATTCAATGCCTTCAATGCCCTCTCGTGAATCATTTCACATGGTATAGGATAACCTAAAATACTCTCCCTTGTTTTCCGCAGGCCAACAGAATTTGACTTTAAAACCACAGTCTTCCTGCTGGATTCTCCTAATTATCGACCTGGCAGGAAGATAAAGATTTCTCAAGGATAGAAGGGTGATAGCGCTCCCCACCCCCACCCCCACCCAGTCTCCTGCCATGGAGAAATCTTGAGAGATGGACTTTCTTGAGTGGAAGTAGGAAATCTAGGGATATAGTGACAGAGTTTCATGAACACAGGTTTTTCAGCTGGCTCTTTAAGTTTGGTTTTAATGCTTTATAGACCACTATACTGGTTACTCAGCCAAATTTAAATCTTAAGGCTAGCAAGTCTCATTAGCATATTGAACAAGCTGCATTTGCTTACAAAAATGGAATGATTTCTGTGTTCTCCCAATAAATTAATGATGGAGCTAGGCAGTAAGAAGAAACAGGATTTAGAAGAGCAGACAGAATCAGCAAATGCCATTAAATAGCCAAAATAAGAAAAAAAAAGAATATGGTCAAACATGACTGGCATAGTAATTGGCAGAGCTAAGGTTTCAACCTAGGCACTCTGACTTCAAATTCAGATCTGAGTTATCTTTATTCCATGAAATCCCATTCTACTCCCTCATATATCAAGCACAATGTCTGACACATTGCAGATGCTTAGTAAATGTTTATTGACTGAGTGACTGTATGTGAAATTTCTAAAAATCTGTTCCACTGAGAAAGAGGAAGGAATCTATTACAATGGAAAGATCGCTTGCCTAGGACTCAGAAGAATCATGTTTGCAACCCTGGTTTTATTGCTGAACAGCTGTGGAACTATGGACCAATGATATGAACTCTCTGAGCCTCAGAAAGCAAAAGGGGCTGGACCGATCTCAGGTTGGGAGGATATCAAGCAAGGCTTCTCAAATACATTCAGAGATTGACATAGTTGTTGCGGTCTTTAGCTCACATTTTTCAGAACAATTTCATATGATAACCAAACACTTTCTGCAGAGGGAAATTATAATGTGTCTTATATATGTATGTTTTTCCTTTAAAAATGTATATTGATGCAGTGAGAATTTAAAAAAAAAAACAGTGGAAAGAACAATGGATTTGGAGTCAGATCCCTGAATTCAAATCCCAGTGCTGCCACCTACATCATGGGTCAACTGGTAGAGTCACTTAATTTCTCTGAGGCTTGATTTCTTCATCTATAAAATGAGGGTGCTGGTCTTGATATCTTTTAAATTCCCTTTCAGCTCTAGGTGTAGGATTCTATGTTGCTATGAAGTCAACCTCCTTGGGGTCTCTCTTTCCTCAACTATAAAATGAGGGGTGGACCAGGAAACCTGTGAATGGTATTCAGGGGAGTTTTTTTTAATCATGCATTTTTCTCAAACAACAAATAATAAAATTAAAACTGCTATTATAGAAAGATCTGTACCATACACAGACCCATGTATACTTATAGTTTATATGTGTACAAATGTATCTGTGTATCTTTCTATATAATCTGTATTTATACATGTATGCATGCATATACATATAATATATATACAAGTATATACATACACATATATGTCAATATATGGGTATATATAATATTTGTGTGTATACAGAGTGCCTCAAAATTCTTAATGTAGTTTTTATCTATTAAAACTATAAAACTATGTAAATATTTACCCATATAAATATATATATATATATCTTTATATGTATCTCTTTATAAATATAGATACAAATACTCATGCACATAGATACATCTCCATATATACACATAAGTGATTCATACATATATTGTATTGTACAAATGTATATATGTGTATGTTTCTATATGAATCATTATCCATGAATAAATGTAGATATTCATATGTATATGTATATATGTATTTGCATGTGTGTATGTGTGTACATGTATGTGAATGAGATAGTTAGATGGCATAGCGGATAGACTGATGAGCCTGGGGTCAAGAAAGACTCATTTTCCTGAGTTTAAATCTGACCTCAGACACTTGCTAGCTGTGTGACCCTGGGCAAGTCACTTAATCCTATTTGCCTCAGTTGGCTCATCTGTAAAATGAGCTGGAGAAGGAAATGGCAAACCACTCCAGTATCTCTGCCAAGAAAACCCTAAGTGGGGTCATGAAGAGTCAGACAGGACTGAACAACACAAATATATGTATGTGTGTGAATACATACATATATAGATATACATATATGCACACATAGATGTGTATGCATATCTATCTATATCTATCTATCTAGACATGTTTAAAGAGTGTCCTCATATTCAAATAGGTAGAAAGCCATAGGTTGAGTTGTGCTCTAAGATTTCTTATGGATTTGTAACCCTTTATAGTTCTAAGAGAAGAGGTAGATTAGGATTGCAAGTAATGAGAAGATCAGAAAATATTTAAGCCTGCATTTCAGCATTAGTGTGATAAACTCAATTGTCAGGACCCTTTGAAGACACATGCTTGCTAGAGCACTATTCTTTATAGAGTGGAATTCAGTTTCCTAGGGTACGGGTTTATTTGAGAAGGTTTATTTTAGTTTTGGGTTTTATGACTGAAGCCCTAGAAAGGCCTCATCTCAAGTGGTTCATCTATAAAAAAAATCATGATGTAGTAATAATAATAATAATATGCACATACTTATATTATGCATAATATAATATGCATAATATTCATATAATAATATTGCATATAATTATATGCAATAATGTGCATATAATAAAAATATGCACTTAGATGTACATAGCCATTTATGCTTATAAAGTATTTGAATTTTATTATAATAATAGTAGCTCACCTTTATGTGGTACTAGATGACATTATGACTTATAAAGCATCCTCTTCCTAGCAATCTGATGAGGTAGCTAATGATGATGATAGAATATAAGCATCTTGAATACAGGGATTATTTGCTATTTATCTTTGTAACCTCCATGACTAGCACAGAACCTGGCACATGTAGATATTTAATAAATGTTTGCTGATTGCTGCTGCTGCTGCTGCTGGTAGTGGTGGGGGTGGGTGGTAGTAATGATGTGATGATGATGGTGATTGTTACATATAAGGGATTTAAGGTTAGAAAAGGCCTATCTACTTTACTCATAAAGAAACTGAAGCTCAGAAATATACATTTGTCCATGTAGGGCCATATAACTTGTTAGCTTAGCTCTGGGAGTAGAACTCAGGGCTTTCTGCCTCTTTCTACCGAGGCCTTCCTAGAACAATGTTGGATTTGGTCTAAGAGGAACCAGGCGCAAACTTGGTTCTGCTCCTTACTGCTTGTATAACCTCCAATGAGTCTCTGACCTCTGTGGGCCTCAGTTTTCTCCTCTTTAAAGTGGAGGCATTGGGCCAGATGTCCTCTAAGGCTTGACATCTATGATCCTATGAGCTGATGAATGGGGTGACTGTAGAGATGCCCACTAAAGCATGACCATGCCACTTACCTTACTTGACTGGAGTGCATGGTAAATACTCCATAGAGGAAAACAAATAAGCCCACAAAGGCAGCAGGAATCAGCATGCCAGTGTACCAGCCTAGCCAGGCAAAGTACAAACCAATCTTCTCGCCAAAATAGCGCCTGCATGAAGAGCAAACACACAGCTTGTCAAACAGTGCTGCAAATTTAATGGCGCCAGGTCTAGAATTTTAGGTGGTAAACTTGAAGCTAGTAGTCAGTCAACAAACTTTTATTAAGTGCCTGCTGTGTGACAGGTACTCTACGTTGCGGGAGGGGGCACAGAGATAAAAGTGAAGGAGTCTCTGCCCTCAAAACCCTTAGATCAACAGCATGTACCTATGCAGATGGAGTTGATGTTGACAGGTAGCTTGGTAGACAGAAAGCTAGATCTAGAGTCAGAAAGACCTGAGTTCAAATCTTACCTAAGACATTTATTAACTTGTATATCCTTGGGCAAGTTACTTAACCTTTCTCTGTCTGTTTCCTCATCTATAAAATGGGGATAATAATCTCACCTGCCTCCCAGGGTTGTTGAGAAGCTCAAATGACAATATCTGTAAAGCACTTGGCACAATGCCTGGGACACCGTAGATGCTTAATAAATGCCAGATATTATTATTAATAGGAAGTCTTTATTATCCTTATGTCATGTGAGGATGGAATGAATTGTATCAAATTATTTTATTTTGTTTGACAGTCTGGTTTGATGGAAGGTGCTGGACTTGGCATTAAGAAATATCCCTGTTCAAATTCTGTCTCTGTACCTGTTACCAGTTGTGAGTCCTGGAAGCAGACACTTCACAGTGTGGTGTGACAGAAAGAATTCTAGGTCCAGCACTCCATCCACTATAACAATGAGATGCTGAAATAGTTAATAATGGTTCACATTCATGTCGAATTTGAAGTCTGTAAAAACTCTTTATATTTTTCATCACATTATTTTTCATACCATTTTTATATATTTTATCTTGATCATTTGAACCTCACAACAACCCCTGTGAGGTAGATGCTGTTATTATTCCCATTTTACAGATGTCAAAACTGAGACAGGTCCAGTGACTAGCCTTAGAGTCATAGAGGTAGTAAATGTCTTAGGGGGAATTTGAACTCAGCCTTCTTGGTTCCAAGTTCATCATTCCCAGCAGGAGTATAGCAAACAGCTTTCTCTGCTGTTCTCTCTCTCACTCAGCTATTATAAAGAAAAAAAAAATGTTAACCTTAAAAAAAGCTTGAGTAGGGTAAGCTGTTGTTTGAAGGCCATGCATTTCCCATCAACATCCTTTATATAGCCATGACTTAGCGCAGAGGAATGAAAGAAGTTCTCAATTCCCTCTTGTTCTCATTATGTATAATTGTGTAGTAGGACACATCCGCTTCTCCCTGTTTGCTAACGAGCCCAAAGCCAATTGAATACTTAAAAAAAAACCCAAACCCTCAGACAGGGTATCAGGAGACCTGGGTCTTACTCCCAACTTTGACAATACTGTAGACAGTTATTGGAGCTCAAGAAAATTGCTCACTCTCCCTGGGACTCAGCTTCCTCCTTTATAAAATGAGAGGGTTATATACTAGGTAATTCTTAAAGTGTCTTTCATCTCTAAGATTCCCTGAGCCTATGACTTTGGGTTGTAACTGGTGAGATCCCTTGGCTGGTGCTGTCAGTCAGAGAGGACTCAAGAGCCTGCAAAAATAGGGGCCCCAGAGGACCCTTCTTCCCAGCGTTCTCCCTGGTTTTGTCATCTTTTCTGGAGGTGGTTCCTAGCACATGTATTCGATCCCAGCAGTTACTGAAGTCACATGCATTAGAGCTCAAAGTACCTCCTGGGATCTAGTTAGAAGGAAGTACATTCTCTTGATACAGATCTTTCTTCAGTCTCCCCTTTTTAATTTCTCCCTCTCTCCCCAAGTTTTACCTTTTATGTTTTTGGTTCAGAAATCTCTCTCTATCCCTTGCCCTCGGTAATCCCATCAACAAGTTCATTGCCATTCAATTAACACTTGAATAAGATCACAATGATTTCAGAGGATTACAATTGGAAAGAACATGAGATATACAATCTAGTCGAAGTCTGTCATTTGAAGAAACTGAGATTAACTGACTTGTCCAAGGTCACCCATGTAGTAAGATGCAGCAAAGCTGAGTTTGGAACTTAAACTTCTAGATTTCAAAGTTTTTAATTAACCCACATGCCCTCTAATTTCTCTTAGGAAAGTGCTATCAAAGAGCTTAAGAGTCAAAGACTTTGGCTTTTAAAGCCCTTCACACCTTTCAGTCTTGTTATGCCTTATGCCCTTTTAATTACTCCAGTCCAGTGACAGTGGCTTCCTTGATAATGATTCTCACACATAATGCTCCAGCTCCTGACTCCAGGCATTTTGTCTGTCTATCCTTCATACCTAGAACTCTCTCCCCTCCTAATCCCTGCCTCCCAACTTCCTTCAAGTCTCAACCAATGGCCCATCTTTTGCAAGAAGCGTTTCTTGTCCTCCTTAATCTTAGGGCCTCCTCTCTGTTGATCATCTCTAATTTATCCTTTAAATATCTTTCTTTCATGTTGGTATTTTCATGTTGTCTCCCCTAATAGATTATGAGCTCCTTGAGACCAGGGATTATCTTTTGTGTTTTTCTGTAGACCCAACACTTAACTCAATGACTGGTACTTTATAAATGTTAATTGATTGAAATGTCAAAGGTCACCGTTGTTCATAAGTGACCACCTGAAATGATCAAATCCCACTTCTACCACCTAATACTTGTTAACCTTGGGCAATTCACTTAACCTCTCCTAGCCTCATTTTTCTCCTCTGTAAAATGAAAAGTTTGGACCAGATGACCTCTGAGGTCCCTTTCATCTCTAGTTATATGGGTCCATCAATAGCCTAGACCTTTATCATGCAACGAACACTTTCCTCTTGAAGACGGAGGCTCAGTGTTTCACTAGGTGTTATAGCAGATCCATTGCACCAAATCCATGTCTTTTTTGGACGTGTCTAATTTTGGGATTCCTTTTGGCTTTAAGGGGAGAGAGTAAGGAACCTCTTACAGTGGGTTACTCTTTCTGCCTATTATATTGAAGGGAAAACATAAACATGAATTGACTTATGGGATATCTACAGCTTTCACCATAGATTGTTGGAGGTTGTATTCTTTCTTTTGGGAGGAGGGTACCAAAGATTGTGATGGGGGAAAAGAAGATAAAAACCCCAACTGCCTTGGAAAGAAATGAATCAGAATGTTTATCAGCAGAAATATGAATCTACAACTTTTATGAATAGCATGAAACAGAGAAAAAAAAAACCCTGATATAAGTAAGCACTTCCTTCTTCAAAGTAAGTTTGAAATTGTCTGATTTGATAAAAGCATGGTTTTTACATATAAATTATTCCTGTGGTGATGGTGGTGGGGTGATAAGATGAAGTTAAAGTGAAAATTACTTACAAAATGCTTATACCCCTTACTAAATAAAATAAAATAAGATGATTGGAGTAATAAAAAAATTGAATCAATAAGATGTTCCTTCTCTTCTCAATGCCAAGAAGAAACTTTTGGAAACTGAGCAAGCACAAGCCACCTTCAACCTCACCCTGAGTGTGACCCCTCCTCTTTCCTACCCTCCTTCTTACTACAGATTCTGATATGGTCTACGCTCACATATGAGATCATAGGTTAAAAAATGGAAACACTAACAAGATGTGGCTGGAAATGCCTTCTTCCTCTTCCCTTTCTTCTCTCTATCCTGCCTTCTACCTCTTTCCCTCTGCTTTGCCTCATCCCTCTCCATACACACACACACACACACACACACACACACACACACACACATACAACTATATTCATATACATACATACATACACACACTTTTTTTTGGTCAAAAATTAGAATAATATAGAGGAAGGAACAGAATAACAGAAATTAAGATTTTAGAAGGATCTCTGATATAGAAAGTACCAGCTCAGAGATTTAAAACTGAAAAGTAGCATAGAGGTCATTTAGCCCAAACCATTCCATTTTATGAATAAGCAAACAGCCTAGAGATTGTTCAATGACAAGTACCACACCATAAAGGTTAAGTAGCAGAGTCAGGATCAAAAACAGGTTCTCTTACCCCTCATCCAGGGAGTTCCCTTCCTTGTGTTATATGCTGCTATCCCTACATAAATTAAGATTCTCTTTACCTGAGTAAGTCAGAATTTAAGAAATTAAATTTAAGAAATTAAAATTTCCATATCAAATTAGAATACCCTTCCATTACATCTACCTAAGTAAATAATTAAGTCTGATTAAAATTTTTTTAAAAGCCACCTGCATATTCTTGATATTTTGTGGGGGGAAAAAAAAGTAGAACATCCTTTTCCTTCACTTCCTAGTTTAAAAGGCACTACTCAATGAAAATTTTCTTATTTGAAAAACAAATGAGTGAATATATGAAGGATATGGGATTTCTATGGGGCTGGGGAACCCTTCATGTGATAACATTGTTCCCCAGCAGATTATTATCTATGACTTAGTAGACAATTCTTAGGGAGATGCGTGATGGTCAGAGGCAATTAAATGCCTTACTCAAGGTTATGAAGCTCTGCATTTAGCAGACAGACCATGGTATCTGGAATCAAAAACAATGAGGGCTCTTATACTCACTCTGACTCATCCCAGATTTCATTACCTGTAAAATAACATCCAGAGAACCTACCTCAAAGGGTGTATGTGTGTGTGAGTTTGTGTGATACAGTCTGGTGGTAAATACAGTGATGGACTTGGAATCAAGGCAACCTGGGATCAAAACCCATTTGTGATACTAACTGTATGACCACAGTTAAGTCACTGAACTTCACTGAGCCTCAATTTTCTTATATGCAAAATGTGGATAAAATACCTTAAGTACCTACCTCACAAGGCTGTGCAGTTCAAATAAGATCATGCATAGAAAGCATTTTGCAAATTGTCAAGTGTCATATGAATGCCAGAAATGGGATGATAGCACATTAAACCTATGTGCTCCTGGCCAACCCCAACACTCCATCCATTAAAGAATCAAAGACCACGGTTTCAAATCTTGCCCCTGAAGTGCACTTCCCGTGTGACCTTAGTTACTTATTGTCCCTGGGACTTATCTGTAATATGAGGAAGTCACACTAGGTGTCCTCTAATGTCTCTTCCTGCTCTAGATCTATGATCTTCTGCAAGCCACTAAGAATTCCACCAAAATATGAATAACAATTGGAAAATGTTATTATTTTTGTAGAGGCAGCTAAGTGGCACAGTAGACTGAGTACTATACTTAGAGTCAAGAAGACCTGGGTACAAATGTGCCCTCAGACACTTACTAGCTATATGTCCCTGGGCATATTACTTTAACCTCTGTCTGCCTCAGTTTCCTCTGCTGTAAAATGTGGATAACCAAAGCACCTGTCTTCCTGGATTTTTGTGAGGATAAAATGAAATATTCAAAAAAATGCTTTATAAGACTTTGAGTGTTACATCAATTCTATTATTAGAAAACTCAACAGAAAACCTTTTTGAGCATGAGTTTAAGGGTGATGTTCGTTCATCTGCAGTAATTGCTCTGATGTGGACACTAGATTTTGATCTGAGTTGGCAGTTCTCTTGAAAATGTCTTAGTACCTGATTAAGTCGAGGGGCTGATACTTATACCACATTCCCCAGCAGGCCCAACGCTTGTATAGCAGGTGTCTGTGGTTCTTGGCTCCATGAGTTTTAATTGGGTGTCTGCTCTGGTAGCTTCCCTAAAGACAAAGAAAATGATGAATGGATACCTATCACATGAGTGAAACGAGAAACAGAATGGCACAACAATTCTACTTTTCTATGTTTGAAGGTCTGATTTGACATTTTATTGACAATTTTATAAATGGCACCCATCTGTGGAAATGATCTAGGACCTGTCTTCCTAGGCATCCCCTTCACTGGCCTTTAAGTCTGAATTTAAGGTCTTTTAAACATTCTTTGAGACAGATCTACATCACTTAGAGTAAAACATGCTTTTAATCTTCAAGGTTTAGAGCACCTCGGGCCTTTAATGAAGAAAATTACTATTCTTTAGCATGGGAAGAACTTGAGTGGAGAGAAAATATTGCAACCTTTCACCTACAAGTTGGGCAGTAATTCTGAATTAGTGGATTTTCTAACCTTTGAAGACCAGAAGACTATTAAAAGTGATGAGGAGAGTGCAAAGGTGTTGAGTCAGCTAGGAAAGTAACATACTTTGTAGAATTCCAGGATCTTTACATTTTACTTTTGAGAAGAGTGTGTGTTTGTCTGTGTGTGTGTACGTGTGTGTATATATATTTGTGTGTACATTTTCTGTTTGGACGTAGCTGTTTATATGTTGTCTCTTCTATTGGACTGTGAGTTACCTGAGATGGATTAATTAGTTTGTTTTCAGACTTTCTTTGTATTTTCAGGGCTTAGCAGGGCCTAGCACACCATAGGTGCTGAATGCATGCTTGTTAACTGACTGCTTATTTGCTGAAAGACGCAAATCTTAATTCTTGCACAGAATTTCAGAGCTGGCAGGTCAAAGCACATATTTAATATACATGTTATAAACCACTCGGATGGCAATGCTCTTTTTATTTTCTTTTTAAAAAAACACAAGAGCCCCCTTTTTAATAGAGGGAGCTGAGGGCTTTAGATTAAAAGTGTGTGTTTGTGTGTGTGTGTGTGTGTGTATGTGTGTGTGTGTGTGACACCATTCTTGCTTTCCAACCAGCTAAAGGAAACTGGAGACCAAAGGGTCATGGATCTTGAGCTAAAAGGAACCTTGAAGGTCATCAAATGCAAACTCTTCTTTGTACAGATGAAGAAACTAAGGCACAGAGAGATTAAGTTACTTACACAGGTTGTAAACAGCAGAGCCAAGATTCAAACCCAAGTGTTTTGACCTCGACTCTCAAATAGTCTTTCCACTACATTATGCTGCCTCTGTAATGAGGGTATGGGGTGAAAGCAAGTAGAATTATGAATTAATTGTAAGGTCTCCTTCCATACTAGGGTTCAGGTCCTAGAGCCAAGACAGATCACTGCTACTTCAAGGAATCTCTATTGAATGTGTAGACTTTTTTTGAAGTAGTGGTGGTTGAGCAAAAGCAGATTCAATTAGAGATGGATAAGGAGATAAATGGAGAATTTTGTGGAGATTCTGACAGGCTCTCCTGAGCACTTAGAAAGGCTTTAAAGCCTGATGGCACCAGTCCCTCATTTATTTCTCAACTGCCACTTGAGATATATGACTTTGATGAAATAGGAAGGCTAGCCTGTTTGTAAAGAGGACTGAATATGGCAAAATCTCAACTAATTGTGGCTTGTATAATGGGGAATAATCCCAAGTGCTATATGCTTATGCTAAAACTCCTTATAAATGTGTATTTTCCTCTTGTGTGACTTCCAAAGATATGGGCAGACAATGGGTTTGGGGATATTCCAGACATGCAGATGGCTTTTGGATGCTTATTCCTAATTCCTGGACCCACGTCCTACTGTGAAGCATCCCAGCCATGATATGGCGTGTACTCTCACTACAACTCTACTTTCAAATTCTAAGAACAAGAATCAAATCAACACTACCATTCTTGGAAAGTATATGTCATTCACATGTTCCATGACCCCAGTCACGATTCCATCTGACCAAAACATTCCTGATGTATGTTGTCCATTAGAGTGCGAGGACCAGAGAAGGACTTCATTGCTGGTTTGTATTTCTATTCCCAACACTTATGGTAGGGCCTGGCACATAGTAAGCACTTAATAAATATTTCATTCATTTTTTCATTTCCCCATCTAGTCTAACAACACTTATACTTTCCTGTCTACTGGCACACATTAGTTGCAGACAGCAACCCAGCTGTCCTTAACCAATAACCTCCTCACCTAACATCTATTCTCCAATATATGATTTCTCTTTTCTAAGGAGGATCATAAGTACATGCAACAAAACCATATATAGCATCCTTTCCCTAAGTGAAGGAAAAATCAGTTGCCTCTTTAAACAATTTGACATAATCAATCTTCTTCCCCAGTACTTTTACTTTCTCCTAGTCTTTTTCACTTCCTCATAAATTAGTTAACTAAATTGAAGACAATCAACCTTATACGCAAGTATGTACATCCCTGTCAACCACCAGTTCCTCTGCCCTTCAACTTATATCACACAAAATCAAAGAATGTTAAATTGGCAAGTGGACTTGTTGTTGGGTTGTTTCAGCCAAATCCAACTCTCTGTGACCCCATTTGTGGTTGTCTTGGTAGAGATACTGGAGTGGTTTGTGATATCCTTTTCCAGCTCATTTGACAAATGAGGAAACTGAGGCAAATATAGTGAAGTGACTTGCCCAGGGTCACACAGCTAATAAGTATCTGAAGCCAGATTTGAACTCAGGTCCTCTTGACTCCAGGCCCAGCACTCTATCCACTGTGTCACCTAGTAGCCTTGAAGGGGACTTAGATACCCTCTAGCACCTCTATCTCATTATACAGATGGAGAAAGTGAGGCTCTAAACATCACAATGGGTTGTACAAGACCCCACATTCAGTCAGGGTGTGTGTGTGTGTGTGTGTGTGTGTGTGTGTGTGATGCAGCACCAGGATTCAAACCCAAGGACTTACTTGTCTCCAAGTTTAGTGCATGATAAATATATCTTGTCCAGTTACTCTAAGAAACTTCCTTCTTTTCCTTACATTTTGGTTATAAACTAAACAAAACAAACAAACAAAAAACCAAACTCCAAACACACAAGAACCCTAATCATAGCTGATATATGTAAGTAGTGCTAGTGATAACACTTGTGGTGATAAAAAGGAAAGTCATATATCTCAAGTGGCAGTTGAGAAATAAATGAGGGACTGGCGCCATCAGGCTTTAAAGCCTTTCTAAGTGCTCAGGAGAGCCTGTCAGAATCTCCACAAAATTCTCCATTTATCTCCTTATCCATCTCTAATTGAATCTGCTTTTGCTCAACCACCACTACTTCAATGCACCAAAGAGTCATGATTTTGTGCCAATGGGTGCCCCACATACCACTGTAGATAGTAATCCCTCTGTGGCTTCCCTTCTCAAAATAGCTTGGATTTGTGTATTTATTTTATATGGGTGAATATGTGGAGATATCTATATCTAGCTATCTATATCCATATGTGAGTCTATGTCATACCTCTATGTATGCATATATATATGTAGGGGCATATATTTATATATGTGCATATATTGCATACACACATATGTACATATAGGGCACAAGAATTTAACAAGTAGCTATTTACTATATGCCAGGTGATGTGCTAAGTGATGGGCATAACAAAGAAATGTAGACGACTGTTCCCTGCCCTTGAGGAGCTCCCAATCTAATGGCAGAGACAGCATTAAAATAACTGAGTAAACTAGAAATACCTATGATAAACTGGTGGTTATCTCAGAGGGAAAACACTAAGATTGAGGACTGGAGAAAAGCTTTTTTTTGTAGAAAATGGGACTTTAGTCTAGAGTTGGAAGGAAGCCAGGGAAGACAAAAGGTAGAGATGAGAAGGGTGAGAATTTCAGGCATTATAAATAGTCAATGAAAATGGCCCCAGGAAGGAGATGGAGAGTCTTACTTGAATAGTGACAAGGAGGCCAGTGTCACTGGACAGCAGAGTACATGCCAAAGAGTAAGATGCAAGGAGACTGGAAAGGTGGAAGAGAGGCCAAGTTATAAAGGGCTTTAAAGGTCAAATAGATCATTTTATATTTGATTCTGGAATTAACTGAAAGCCACTGAAGTTAACTGAATAGGTGGGTGATACGGTCAGACCGGTGTTTTAGGATGATCAACTTAATAGCTGAGTGGGGCATGGAGTAAAGTAGGGAAAGACCTGAAGCAGGCCAACGTCCCCACCAGCTGCTGCAATAGGGCAAGTATGAAGTGATGATGGCCTGCATGAGGTGGTGGCAGTGTCAGAGAAGAGAAAGGGCTATATTTAAGGAGATGTCACAAAGGTAGAAATGCTAGGACTTGGCAAATGAGTGGATATGGAGGAAATGAGAGAGTAAGAAGTCAACTACAGAACCTAGATTGGGAGCCTGAGGACTGGGAAAATGGTGGTTACCTCAACAGTAGAGAAGTTAGGAAGAAAAAAAGGTTTTGGGGAAAATATAAGTTAGGTTTAGATGTGAGGAGATTAAAATGTTTACATCTAGTACATCTACTTCAACAGGTACAACAGGGTAGTTGGAGATGTGAGACTGAAGGTCACGCAAGAGGTCAGAGCCTAACGGGTAGATCTGAGAATCATCTGCATAGAGGTAATAATTAAAACCATGGGAGGTGATAAGATCAGAGGGAGAAGAGAGTCCAGGAAAGAGCCTTGGGGGACCCCCACTCTTAATCTATGATGTGGACAGAGATCTAGTAAAGACGACAGAGAAGGAGCCATCAGATAAATATGAGAACTACTGATATCATGAGAACCTAAAGAGAAGATAATATCAAGGAGAAGAGGGTGATAAAGTGTGCCAGAGCCTGCAGGGAGGTCATGTAAGATGAGGACCAAGAAAAGGTCATTCGATTTGGCAGTTAACAGGATTATCAGCATCATTGGACAGAACAGTTTGAATTGAATGAGGAGGTTAGAAGGAGTTAAGAAGACAGTGAGAGGAAATCATTTTTCAAGGTCAGCCAGAAAAGGGGAGAGATAAAGGATGATGGATTGTGGGGATGGAGAGATCAGGGGAGCTTTATTTATTTATTTATTTTTTGGATGGGAGAAACAAGGGCTTGTTTACAAGGAGTAGGGAAGCAGTTAAGAGATAAGGACTTATGTAACATTGGCAAATATGCATCAATCTCTGAATACTCATTTAGAAACTGAAGTAGTTGGGCTACATGATCCTGAAGGATATTTCAATTTCTAAAATATTAAAATATAGCCCAAGAGTTAGATTAAAAAAAGTCTGTGACATTCATTTCCTATTTTTTTTTCAATTTTCCCCTGGATCTTAGTAGTAGACTAGAAGACTGGAAAGCTTCATGTCTCCAACTATCTTGTTGAACTGGAGGTGAAAAAAAACAAACTTCATCAGTGATTATAAGCCACAGTCTACTCATACTCATGCGTCTTTCCATTGGATTTTGTGCCAGCCATTTCTTGTTCCCTCAGAGATCGTGTTCCATAATTCATAAAAAAATATGATATGACTAGGAGACTATTGATGGAAAAAAGATGAGTTTGCCTGTTGGACAGTAGTCTGTTACTTTCTGACCAGAAAGGAAATTATTTTAGTAAACTGTTGTCAGATTAGTGCTTCAGGATAAAGCCTGGGGGCTCATTTCTCATCAAAATTTCTCATCATTTCTCTGAGTATCTGTAACTAACTTAGGTGTCTATTTTATCAAACTCCTACAAGAGTCAGGTGTGAGCATCACCTGAGGTTCCAACACCTTAGAGAGAACCCACCATGACATATGCAGTCCTAATAAGGACATAGAGTTTGATATTGTCGTGAGTTGTATGCATCACTATGTATGTTGAGTGGAAGAGTTCCTATCCTAGGCTTTGCATTTTTCTGTCTGCCACTGATATTGCTATTGAGAATGATGGCCCTGAGATCCTGTATTGTGACAGTCATTATTTTCATAATGCTTGAGTTAAAGAGGAAGGAAAATGGAATCACAATTTTCAAAAGATTTTCAACAAAAGGCTTCTTGAATTGGACAGGGATCAAATTCTCATTCTGCCGATATGTATTTCACATGAGTTCCATTTCTCTAACCCAAGAACTTTTCCCTGTGTCTGTCTTCTGCTTTGTGTTCACCTCATTACAGCTCATATAAAATACTACTGGGTGACTTTAGCTTCAAATAGTTTATTATTAAATGGTTCTTATTTGTATAATTATCCCTATTCTCCCTACTTGTCTTTTTTTTTTCCTATTCATATGGTCATGTGTTTATTTAGTTGTGTTTATAGTGTACCCCCCCAGGAGAATGGAAATTCTTGGAAGGCAGGGATTTTTTTTTTTTTTTGGCATCTGTATCCTCAACATTTAGCACAGAGACGTTCATGTAAAAGAAATTTAATAAATCTCCACTAACTTTGTACATTCAGTCTTTGGTTGCCTGTGGCCCTTTCCCAAAATAGTTATATCCCCTTCTTCAACCTGGTAACCAATTCATGTCAGTTCAATGACTACTTCCTGAAGAAATCACATGTGATTTCTTCAGGAAGTAGTCACCGAACTGGCATGTTTATATATACGTATGCATGTGTGTGCATGTATATAACATGCATGTAAACACACATACATATGTATATATCATATATGTATACACATATAGTACATAGATAACATATACTACATATATGTTATATATAGTACATGTACTATATGTTATGTATAGTTTTAATATATCCATTACATAATATATGAGAAAGAAAGATAAATAAGTAACTCATCTCCCTGAATACGATATTCTCTTAACAATCTGGCTAATCTCAAGTCTCTCCTTCCCATTCATCCGCCATCTTGATGTTAGCTCCATCTTTATGACCATGCTAAGTCTCTGCTCAAAACCCTTCAACGGCTCCCTGTTGCTTGCATCTTCCTTACCTATAAATGTCTTATCTCCTCTATTGGAATGTAATTCTCTTAAGGGCAATCTACATCTCTAGATTGAGTGTGGTGCTCCACCTCTAATAGATACTTAATAAGCCTTTGTTGGTGTTCCTTGATCAAAGATCACAACAAACCAGATTTTATAGTTAAACAAACAAAAAAAATCTCATGAGTGAGAGTGCTTCTTTCAAAGCATTTACTCTGATAAATCAAAGTTTTGCCTTAGGATGAGAACTTAAGCTGCTACATGTAAGTACATATTTTACATTCTTGGATTTTTTTTTATTGTCACTAAATCATTCAGGTTTTTAAATTAATAACATGGAATTTGAAGTTACCTCATGAGGAGGAAAGGATGCCTCATATGTGCCGTTGTTCAGGAGTTTATTGATACCTAGGCAGAGAAGAAAGTCAGTTAATGTACCAAGACTTCCTTAAATCAATGAATATCTACATCTGAGCATGGAAAGGGGCAGTGGTGTTGGTGGTGGTGGTGGTGGTGATGGGAGAGGGGTTGGTTAATCTCAGGACACAGCTCCAAGAAAATCTTAAAATAATACATATAATTGTTGTTAGGATGATAAAAGACAATGGCAATGAAGACAATTCAGCCTGGCCATGATATTGACATCAATGACAACAAGACATGAGGGGCTAAGACAACATATTTGATCACATTGGGTCAGGAAATATCCTGTATCTTTAATAACCAGCCTACATTTTTGAACATCAGCCATGGTCTCACCCACTAAATACCCTGGACAACCACCAAAGCTGCTTTTCTCATTGTCTCCATCAATCCTTTCTCATACTTTCCCATTTCCTTGTTATAGTTTTCACATGGTGCTTTTTACTGAGAATGCCTTCCTTTACCTTATGAATAAATAGCCTTAGAGTTCCAACTCCAATGCTCCCTCTTCTTGAAGCCTTCCCTGATTTCCTCTGGCTGGAAGCAGTTTTTCATGTTTGATTTTGTAGCCCTATGCTCTTCTACCCCTAACCTCTCTTCTTATGCATTTATGAAAGGAATGAAGGAAGACCTCCACTCTGTTAAGGGAACGAATGCCCTGTGATGAAATTATAGGAAGACAAAGGCCACATAGGATGTGCTGTGGTTAGGTTGTGGTTCTCAAAACTGGAGAAAACTTCCAAACTGATGAGATCACAGATCTTCTAGAGTATTTGAGTTTCTACTTATATTTCAATTTGCATTATATTTGTCTGTGCATATGCATTACACCCCAAACCCTGATCATTAGATTGTTGGTTCCTTGATGTCAAAAGCCACATTGCATTTCTCTTACTGTCATCCCTAGTGATTATCATAGTGCCAAGAATAGCATTGGCAGCATTCAGCATATGTTGGTTGAATGAATAAATGAATGTCCACTTCACTTTATTTTGCATGAGCCTAAAATAGCTTAGTGACCACCTAGCTTAACACTGTAATATGCAATAAATAAATCTACTTCCAAAATATGTGTTTATGAGGTCACTGGTGCTCACTGGTTAGTTACAATCTAGAATTGAATGGACAAAAAAATAGAAGATGTCATCTTTCTAGAGTCCTCTTATTAAGATCATATAATTCAACAAAATAGATACTTTTTTCCACTCCAAATTCCTAAAGACTGTAGACATTATTATCTCCCACCTATAAATAATGATCCTGCCTTTAGTGTCCAAAATCAGGGTGTTTAGGTTATTTAAAAGTAGTCACTGGAGCCAGTGGAAGTTTGAAAGCTTTAAAGATAATCTTTCTGAATCTCACCGAATGCTTCAAACGTCACTTACTCTGTACTCAAATGGGGATCTCTACTATGATAGTCTCAACAACTGGTCACCTGGCATGTTCTTGAAGACATCCAAGCACAGGAAACTCACTACTTCCCTAGGATGTCCTTTTTACACTTCTAGATGGCTATAAGTGTTAGGAATGTTTTTCTTAGGATGAGCTAAAACCTTCCTCCACTATAACTTTTAATCTCTCATGTCAAGTATTACATTGCCACTTTTCCCACAGGACAGTTCTTCAAATACTTGAATGAAGCTACCATTTCCCCCAATTAATATTCCCTTCTCCTTAAGCTTCCTCCAATTCTTTTAACCAATCAGCTTGGAGGCCTCTCACAATCACATTTAAGGATGGGCTAACAGTATTTGTTGTTATGCACTTACAGTTGTGTCTGACTCTTCATGACTCCATGTGGGGTTTTCTTGGCAAAAGTACTGGGGCGGTGTGCCATTTTCTTCTCCAGCTTATTTTACATATAAGGAAACTGAGGCCAACAGGGTGAAGTGATCTGCCCTGGGTCACACAGTAAGTATCTGAGGGTGGATTTGAACTGACTTCCTGACTCCAGGCCTGACACTCTATTCACTATGCCATCTAGCTTGTCATGATATAGCAGTCTCTCTCAACAATAATCAATCAGTGGATTTAGATTAGCCAATTTTTTTTTAAGTTTGAAAGGTACAAATAAATTAAATGAGATAACGTATCTATGGCACTTTATAAACCAAAAAGTGCTAATAAATATCTTATGATCATTATTATTGCCAATCATAACAACACAGCCAATCATTTAACTAAAGAATCCTCCTTACCTTTCAAAAAACAAAACAAAACAAAGTAGGACCCCTGGGGCAGGGGTTATTTCATTTTTGTCACTGTATCCCTAGCACCTGGTATATACCTGGTACATAGTGGGTACTTAACAAAAGGCAGTTGAATTGAATGAAATTGAGCTGAATTGAGAAGAGAATTGAAATGCTGGCTATGAAAAAGCAGTTGTACTTATTATGTTGAAAAGTGGGTGTTTCAGTCTTATTAAATGAGAAACATCACAGGGAGAGCAGCCTCCTCCTAACACAAAAGCCATGTTCTTACCAAAAAACAAATTTTAGTTTGCTTTTTGTTTGTTTGAGATTTAGAGTCAGACTTCTTACCTTCACAATCACAGAAGATTAGACCTGAAATGGCCCTGGGTTACCCAGAGCTAGAGGAGACCTTAGAAACAACTCATTCCCACTCTTTCAATTTCTAGGGGAGGAAACTGATAGCCACAAAGGAGCAGTAACTTGGCCAACATTACCAGTCTAGTAAGTGGCAAAGTTTGGACTGGAACCCCCAAATGCTCACACCCCGATTTTCATGCTTATACCATCGTTGTGTCCTTGATCAAGGTCTTACCCATTTTTGTTTTCCCATCTTCGTATTTGGTGCGTTGCAACACATGATGAACGATCCTGCTTCTCGTGGAATTGTTGAAGAAAGTGTCCTTATTTGTTATTGTGAAGCTGTGGAAATGATGGGACTGGTTTTAAGACTCAGAACCGAGCAAAGGACACAGCAAGAGTGTGTAAATGCCACACGATCTAAAAGGTGTTCTCCTTAAAATGACAGCCAACTTGATTTCTTTTCATGATCCCCATATCTCGACAGACAAGAGCCTGACATTTCACTTTCCATTACTATGAATGTTGATTCATGACAAAAATACACCCATAAAAGCAATCACCTATCAAATGTAATTTTGAGTGTCTCCCTTTAGTACTCATCCTTGGCATGGAAAGAGAGGGGAGAAGAGCAGCCTGGACATTTGCTTCCACTGAATTATTTACAATTTTGAAGCAATGCTGACAATGTGGCTTTCTGCAGGGTTTCTTCTAAATAGAGATGATTAAAAATTCAGTCACCATTTCCTAGATTACTTCTGTGGGTTTCAGTTCTTTCTCAGCTAAGAAATGAATACTTTTCCTCTCTGTAATCTCCCTACCCCTCCTTATCTCAATCAATGCAGTCTGATTCTAGTTTGAGGTAAGAGAGCCTTCCAATGACTAATTACTCTTCCTTTGTTTTGGGCTATCCACATCCTGCTTTCCTCCTTGGTCCAGACGAAGACTGTGCTCTACAACACACAGGAAGAACATTTGGTTGTCTGGAAGTCTATTACTAGGCACACACATGCACGTGTCCTCACAATTCAGTGATGAATGGTATTCACAGTGATGAGCCTGAAGGATGAAGGTCTTGCATTGCTTTCTGAAGCATTAAGACTTCACAGGATTGCATCTCCAGCCCAATTACTTTCCAGATGTCTCCATTTCCTCAGTATCTTTACTCCCCTTGGTAGGACTCTACCCTGAAGCCTGTTCTCTTCATTAGTGGGTCCAAGGAGAGGGTTGCCATTCCAGGAGAGGCCCCAGCCATGTTCACTTTACTCCCGGAACAACTAACTCACTCCCCAGACTGCTTCCCCTCCTCAGCAGTCAGCCTCCTTGAAAATAGGAGCTGTCTAGTTTTTATGCTTGCTCTATCTGTCTGTCTGTCTATCTATGTATCTAATCTATCTACCTATCTATCAGTATTTCTCTCTCTCATCATTGTCATTGTGGGCTCTCTCTTTGCTCACACAGATCATGTAATTTGCTATTGACAAAAAAATATTCTACCTCCTAGTGGCCAACCTTCCAAAGAACTTCTAGAAATCATTCCTCAGGCACCATTCTTTGTTATGCATATAGGAATATCGATTTAGAGCTAGATGGTACCTAAGAACCACTGAGTCAAATATCCATATTTTATTGATGAGGAAAGTGAGGGAGAGAAAAGCTCATATATTATAGATTGAGTTTGAAGGGACTTTAGAAGACATTTAGCTCATCTCCCTCATTTAATAGATGAGGAAGCTGAAACTGGCAGAGGTTAAACTATTTGTCTAAGGTCACAAAGCTAGTAAGTGTCTGACTCAGGATTTGAATACAGATCTCCCTGGCTCTAAGTGCAGAATTCCATTTATGACACCATGCTGGAATCCTAATGAATGGTATTTGTATCTTAGTGGAAATTGTCAGTTCTCATGCTCTATGGCTAGTCCTTCAGGAATTCATGGTTGCCCCAGTGCCATGATTCAATCATAATCTGTACTTTTGAGGAATTAAGTATATTTTATTGTGATCTCATTCTTTGCTAACTAAATATCTAACTTTTTAAAAACAATGTAGGTACTCTTCAATTAATGAACTTGAGGAATAAAAGACAAAACACCCTTTAAAAGAGCATCTTGGGTTATCCAGTTACCACATTCGCCTCAAATGAGGGCTGATTACAATAATAGTATGGCATAGCAGGTATATTGGAATTTAAAGGATAAACCTCTGTTTCCAAGAGAAACCCAAGATTATTAAAGAAACTCTGAAGTTTCCTGAAGCCAATTTCCAACTGTTGAATTCTGAGCCTGAAATCCTTTTGCACTGTATATCCCAGATCTACAGTGGTAAACAAGCTCTCTAGGTAATCTCCCCGAACTCATGTCATAAAAGGTATAATATAATTATTTATCCATTTGGTCATTCTTGTGTGGATGGTTAAGGCTAAAGGTTTTTGAGCAGTTAAGGATTTCTTCTGGGAGGTTCTTCAGTGTTCTGGAGAAACATGGATAATGCCATCTGCTAACATGAGCATCCTGAGGATCTGATCATCCACAGGGAATCCCTCTTCAACTTGGATTCTCTGATGGATCTTTTAAATACCAATATTATGACATTGTCATTTTTTTTGGCTATGCAGTATTTAACATAACAGTGTCTGAAGCATGAGGATGGATATCGCATAGAGGTTAGTGTTGAGACTCAGCACTTAGTATAGTGCCTGGCACATAGGAAGGGCTTAACAAATGTTGGCTGATGGTGGGTGTGAACTGGTCATAACAGATGACTAATGAAGGTTATTGAAGAAGATAAAGGGCAAAGGATGCTGTCATTTACATGTGGGATAGGAAAGGAAGTAGGGTTGATCACATAGCAAGGACAAGAGATAATAGGTGGATAGCCCAAAGTTTCCACTAGTATCCTTTTGATGTCAGGACAAACTAAAGATGGCTTCCAGCACATTGGTTAGATCCTCACAGCAAACTCTTGGAAGCTCATGGACAAGAGTCAAATAGAATGGGCAGTCATGAATGCAGTATGGTCTGCATTTTTGGAAGGAACATCTAAATTGTCAAGAACACAAATCCATTTGAATATCTGTAAATAGAATGGATAGAGAACTCTCCTCAAGGTCAGGGTAACTTGGACTCAGGGCTTCTGACTCATATTGGCTATTTGACCCTAGGCAAATCACACCCTTCCCCTTGACCCCCAAGTCCATCAACCCTCTAAGATTTTCAGTGTTAGAACAACAGAAAGTAGGCATGGATGTAGGGAGTATTCTCAGAAAAAGACCAATAATTGATATTTCTTTAGCACTTTGAGGTCTATAAAGAGTTGCTTTTCCCTCGTCTTATTTGATCCTCATAATGGATCTGTAAAATCAATACGACTACCACCACAAATAAAAATAATTAATACTTATATAGATACTATTATCATTCTCATTTCACTGAAAAAAAATAGTTATAGAAATGAAATGACTTACCCAGGGTTTCACAGCTAGTAAATGTCAAAGGTAAGATTTGAACTCAGCTCATCCTGACTCCAGATCTTGTATTCTATCTACTACGCCACCTAGCTCCCTACCGTAGGCATTAGTATTTGCATTTTACAGATGAAAAAAACTGGAGCTAACAGAGTTTACATGACTGCCTGGGGTAACACAGAACTAGTGAAGTCTTTGCAATGGGAGTAGAGCCCAGGTCTTCCTGGATCACAGTTTATCACTCTCCATTCAGCACCCAGCCCTGTCCATGGTAGATGCTTAGCAAATGTCTGTTGAATTTAACTTATTGTATTATTGTTATTATTATTATCCCTCTCTTGCTGCCATCCATAACAGCAGTCATTAGGAAGGCATAGCAGTTTGGCTATTAGATGAACAGCCCATAAACACTGCAATATTTATGATTTGAATTTATATGACTCATAAAACAAAGAATTCATAATGCTCACTGAGTGTTGTTCAGAAATTAAGTGTTAAATATTAATAAGGAAATAAAGACTTTGCCTAAATTGACAAGCCACAGAGATGCTGTTGTTCCTGCTTTATGCCATTGGCAGCCCTGGCTTCACAGCAGAATGAGCACATGAGGCTTGAGAGGCCCGTGGGAGTGGGAATACTTACTGGTGCATACGTGCCCGGCTGAAGGGGGCCGTGTAGCAGTCTGTCTCCTCCAAGTCAGGCAGAGCCTCCTTGTCGAGTTGCATTGGGTTTTTGGGAAGCCAGCTTCTCAGCTGGATGGTTTTTCGATACAAACTGGGACAAAGTCACAATTTAGATTGGATTAGATGAGGTGCTTACCACAGTACCACATTTATCCTGCACTGAGACCTGTTAAGTGCTGGAGGAAACACAATCATAGACTTCATCCTATGGGTGGGTGGTTGAGGTGTGTAAAATACCTTCTACCTTTAAATGAAGAGGTGCCCCTAATCACTTTTGGAGCAAGGGGTGAGTAGGAATTGAACCCAAGACCTAAGGCATAAAATCTCATGTTAATGTGCTTTCCCCCACATCATGCTCCCTTTATTCACTATTTTCATTTATTTCAAGCTTCATAACAAGGCCCAAATTGTTGTTGTAATAGGACATACTGTAATAGAATCCATAGCATGATGGTTGGCATATAATAAACATTTAATAAATGCTTTATCTGCCTATAAGGAGACCAAAATCTGTTGCTGGGTATTATTATGATGAGGATTCCTTTCCTGCCTAGGTTGGACTAGATAGATGGTCTCCAAAGTTCTAACTCACAAATTCTGTGACTCAGGAGGAAAGTGGTCCTGATATTCAGGAATTCTCATCACTCAGTGACATTCCACCCTCCACAATGGGGTCACCTATTAGAGACTCCATTGATGCCATTTGAAGTCAGGAATGAGGAATACATAGGTTGCCAAATACTAGACACCATCATTTCCTTACTGATCCCCCTCTACCCCCAGCTATTGCAACTCAGCTACAATGGCATCATGGGAAGACTTAAGGGTTTATAAGCCTTTGAGCAATTCGATGCAATTTCAACTCGATTTGAAAGTATCATTTTTACAAGATTTACATTTTTCAGACCCACTCCACCAGTTCTGAAGAACATACCCACCATAGAATTAGAGACTCTTAGAACTTTAAAGGACCTTAGGACTATCTAATACTCTTCTCCCAACTCCTGCCATTCAGTAGGTGAGGGTCCTAAGATGCAGAGAGATTTTGTGACTTGCCAATGTCACACAGCTAGTTTATTGTAGAGTTCTCTCTACAGCTCAAGTCTCCTGATTCCCATTCTATTATTACCCCTCCCCCCAGACATGATACTGCTCATTCATAATGGATAAGGTTGAGGGCAAAGATTCTCTCTTTTGGCAAATTTTGGCTTTAAAAAACCAGACCCATGCTGTCCAGGCTCATTTAAGAAGATATAGTATCAAAGGAATCTGGAGTTCAAACCATTGGATTATAGATGCATAGATGTATAACCACCACATGTCCTTAGGAACAATTTTATAGACCACAAATAGTGGAAAAACAGTGGAGAGGGACACTGAAATTAGAATCAGGAAGACATGAGTTCAAATTCTGCCTCACATACTTACTAGTTGTGTGACTTTGGGCAAATCACTTAACTTTTCTGCATCTACTAATAATTAGTTTTAATCCCAAAATATAGGGCAAAAATTGCATTTCCATTTTTCTATTTCATTGAAGTTAGATTGTGTGTATATATGAATATGTGTAAGTTTGTGTAATATATGCATATATCTATCTATATGAGATAGTACCTAAAATTGGTTATATGCTTTATATAACACTTTTCTCTTTCCTATTCCACTCCTCTGCTGCTTCTGTGGTGACTATTTGCTAATTTTATTCAATCACAGAGAATCAGAATTTTATAGGACCTTAGAAATCATCTAAACTCAAACCCATTTCATTCACCATTCTACCACCCATTTTTCTTCATGTCTACACTGGGACCCAGACAAGATATGCCATCTGCTCAAAATCACAAGGGCAGATTGTTGAGTAGAGATCAGACAGAACTTTTTTTTTTATACTAAGAAAATGAAGAAACTGTGAGACGTTTTTCCTAAATTAAGGACATATTAAATTGATTTGATCTAGTGAGATTTGACTAAAATTTAGAGTGGAAAATCTAAAATCCTTCATGAATACTTATTATTTTTGATTTATGACTTACAAAGTGTTAACATTTTTGCCATAACTCATTTAAATTTAAAATGAATGATAAACTCTTATTATTCCCTTCCATTGCACAGACTTAGAATAATATTAAACCTGGAATTTATTGTTGAGTTAGCCACTTCCTTTTCTTTATCAAGTAGGTTGACCTAATATTTCTGGAGATGTTATATTCTTCATTACTTATATTTCTATAAAATGATTGGTTTGAATGGGATAAATTCAAAAGTCTCAAGCACCTCTAACATGCTATAGGCAAGATTCTTAGGTGGTCCCTATCTCTGATGTTCTATGCTCTGTGTTCTAAGGTCCTTTCCAACTTTTGTATTCTATGTTCTATATTTTGGGGTTACTTCTCTCTCAATATTCAGGGTTCTAAGATCCCTTGCAGGTAGCTTTTAGCTCTGATGATATACCATGCTTTAAACACTGAAATCTTTAAACATTCTTCCAATTCTGACATTCTCTGTTCTGTGTTCAAAGAAATTCTCTATTCTAAGATTCTTTTTTGTTCTTAACTTTCTCCAACACTATGATTCTAATTATTTCTCTAACCTTTAAATTGTTTACCTTTAATATTTCAATACCACTTCATTCAGTACATTTTTAACCTTTACATTGCTGTTTTGTTTCTGTACCTCCATCCTTCACCTTTTCAGCCATAAGTAACAGTCTGACAACATTCCAGAAGACTTTTGTTTGAGACTCCATAAAAAGGAAGATCGCTTCCTGCAGGGAATGCCTATCATAGTATCCAAGGATCCTATCCTCATAAGTTTCAGGTTGCTCGGTGCCACTGATTCTTTGTCATAGCTACCGTGACTACCAAGGCAAAGGACATTGTTGCTGTTGTTGTTGTTTTTTGGAACATATGTTTAAAATTCTGGTCAGTTCCAACATTACCTAACTGCAAGTCAAGATTCTCAATTTTGAAATTATTTCAAAGTCTGTCACTCTCATTGATTAACTAATAAAAGGTAGGTCATTCCCTCACTAGGACTCATTTTCTTCATCTTACAGGTTAAGACATTGGCCTGAATAATCTCTAGGCTTCCTGCCTTTTCTATTTTTTTCTATGTCTACTGTAACAACAGCAGCTAATCAGTAATGTATTGTGTAATGCTCTGTTTTTCGAGAACTAAAATTTCATTCAGGTAAAACTTCCTTTTCACATCATTTAATTGTACAAGATTTTTGGCCATGTCTAATTGAGTAAAAAAAGAGCAAATCAACTGTCTAGGCAATTTTAAACATTGTGTTATTGGGTATAATGACATTTTGGGAATCTTCTTGAACACAATCCAACTCATTATTTTCTCCTTGAATTTGCAGCTGGTTTATAAGGTAGAATTGAATTGGGGATTTTTGTTTGCTTCAGGATAATAAGCTGGCATCATAGTAGCTTTATCATCCACCAACCTATTCAACGTTCTGTTCTTCCAGTCAGTGTAATAGCATTTTTTCCTGGAACAAAAAAAAAGGAGAAAAGAAATCAGCTGAGTATAGTTGTGAGAAGTTATAATTAAGGTTAACTATAACATTCAAGAATACCAAACATGAATATTTTAACACAGAGAACTTTACCTGTATGAAGACAGCAGATTTAAGAAGAGCAAAACATTGCTTTATTTCAACCAATGGCATTAATTGGTCCCACAGAAATATGACCTTAGTTGAAATGATATTTCAAGGGACATCTAATTCCACAGCAATGTATTTTTTAATAAATAAGAAAACTACAAATGCATGATCAGCTAACAAAGAAGACCTATAAGCATCTAAAATTGAGGTTTAGAGCCCAGGCCTATCCTAAGACCATTATATGACCAAGATAGGTCTTGGCTCTAAGATCATGTGTTATCAAAAGCAACCCTGAGGTCTGCAAATGGCAACCAGTGGATTAAAGAGGGAAGACAGATGGCTAGTTCAAGAATAAGATATAAAATAATTCAGAGACATGATGGAAAACAGGGGCTACTTCACCTCAAGGAATCCTCTGCACATTTATTTTAATATCAATCTAAAGATTAAAATAATGAAATGAGTTGGAACTTTATTTCTTTCAACAAACAAAGACATAAGTATGTAATCTCTAGCTGGGTGGGCATAATCCATATTGTTAGAGGAACAAAATAATGGACAAATATGAAGCCTTAGGCAGTGCCAGTAAAGGTACTTATTAAAACATGGATTCTGGATGCCATTTTCCCAACCCAGTCCAATTCCCCAAAAGAATGATGGAGAAGTGCAATGAATGAGATAGTACTTTTGAATTTCCACAAGTTATATAAAAAATAAATGAAAACTTTAAAGACTTTTTCTCCTTTTCTTTGTTCTTTGCATTCCAGAACCAATTTGGTAGAATAATCAACCTGATAATTCTTTGTCGTGAGTAGGAATACTACTCTTTGATATAAGAAACTGTCCATATAAAGAATATAAAAACTCTATATGACAAAGAATTCAGAGAAATTAGGTGACAGACCTCCATAGGGCAGTGTCTGGCAAATTGGACAATGGCTGTGTGTAATACTCTGTTTTTCGAGAACTAAAACCCCAAAATTTAGGGTGAGGCTTAGTTACAATATGTAAGATAACATGTAAGTACATTTTCAAATCTTAAAGCACTACACAAAGACTATTGTTGTTGTTATCATCATCATCATTATTAATACCATTATCATGATATGCCATTGATTTAACCATTTTTATATGTGCTATTCTTTAAAAATGTGAAATGCACTAAATTTGCAGAATATGTTTTAAACTTACCTCTAAGAACCTAGATAATTCTTGGAGAACATCATTACGTTGAAACAAAAATCAATGGCCTGCCTATCAGGCAACAGATTTTCTATTCAGCTTGTTGAAGTTCTACTTTGTTCCACAATATATGTATGGTTCTGGCATTTGCATAAGCAATTAGGGTTTCACATAAGGTACAACATATACCCCCACACAAACACACAATTGGCATATGCCTCTTTTTCTTCATTTTCACCTTTGATGGAAGAAAAGACTTCTGGTAGGGAAAGTTAAGTCACTACTTAGGAAATATTGATAAAGAATAAAGTTATGCTCATGAAATGCAACAGAAAAAAAAATAAATTTAAGACTAATTTTCAACATCAATAGAAAGCTCCAGGAAAGAGTTTAAAAGATGGTAAAGGTCATATGTATAATTAGACACAGCAGACATGGTTGGTAATACTATTTATCTACAGGGAAAAGAGCACTTGGACTGAATAACAACCTAGACTCAAACTTCTTACTCCCTGGTAGCCTAGGAGCATTTACTTGAAACTGTTATTAGTACTGAGTATTAGCCATTCTCAATTGTGATATGACTCCACTGAAAACAAAGGAAAGCAGCATGGCTGCCATGAGCTGACAGCACATTTTCAGACATTGTCCAACATTACAAAGTGGAAATGCAACAGGTGAAATGATTGTCTGGAACAGTTAAGGGGAGTCTCACTGCACAGTAGGTATAAATCATAGATTGCTAATACATAGCCATCATTGTTTCTGATTAAATACTCATTGTTCTCACATGAGGCCTTTCTGCACGGATGCTTTCACTTTTTGTCTTTGTAAATGATATTGTGGATATAGTTTTGGACCTGTGGATAGGAAACTCTATGTTACAATCCAGCCTCAGACACTTATTAATTGTATGACCCTGAGCAAGTCACTTCATGTAGGTCTGATTCAGTTTCCTCATCTGTAAAATGGGGATAACAGCACCCGTCTCCCAGGGTTGTTGTGAAGATCAAATGAGATATTTGCAAAACAGTTTGCAAAATTTAAAGCACTATAAAAATACTGTTATTGTAATATATTTGTAACATTGTAATATTGTATTGTATATAATAAGGTGTTATAATATACAGTTTTATAATATTATAATACATTGAATAATACTTAATATCCAAAATATGCTACTACTACTACTACTAATAATAATTATTATTATTACCGTCAGTGTTGTCCATACAGTGTCTGAACATGGCAGGTACTTAACTGAACTGAAGTATAATAAAGTGAATTGCAGGGAATCTCCTCAGTAATTTCATATTGTTATTTTTGTTCAATTGTGTCCGACTCTTTTTGACCCCATTTGGGGTTTTCTTGGCAAAGATACTAAAGTGATTTGCATTTCCTTCTCCAGCTCATTTTACAGATGAGGAAATTGAAACAGAGTTAAGTGACTTGACCAGGACCACCCAGCTAATTAATGTCTAAGACCAGATTTGAACTCAGGAAGATGAGTCTTTTATATTGGTATTCAGATAAAAAAGTAACAGAATGAGTCTCCCTCTCTCTCTCTCTCTCTCTCTCTCTCTCTCTCTCTCTCTCTGAAAGTCGATTTCCTTAAGGTAAGAGTCTTAAGATTTGTTTTGTGTTATGGTCACCTTTTGACAATCTGGTGAAGTCAGTGGACTCTTTCTCAACATAACATTATTAAATGAATTAAATAAAATACAAAGAAGTATCCCGAGCCCCCAATTATATTGAAATACAGTTATCAATATATTTAAAAGGCAAAATAAGTTCATGGATCCCAGGTTAAGAACCAAAACTTTATGGGATTAAGGGTGGGACAAGGCAATACTATCAGAAGGATTATAAAACAAATCTTGCATTCATGGTAAAGGAGATGAAAGAAAAAAAAAGGAATGGATAGGGGAAAAACTTGTGTAGAAGAATAGAAGACTGTGGAAAATGGAAAAGATCCTTCTTGATGGAACAAAGCTGCAAGGGCATGAGGAGAGGATAGATGCTGCCGTGTTTTCATAATCTGAGTTTTATAGCAATGTAATTTTAAAGTAGTCACCTCTACTTTAAGATAAGCCAACAGTTTAAACCAGGGGTGAATAGCCTAGGTGATTGATGAATGGTTATTTCAATTAATGGACTATAAATTACTTAAGTACATGAACCATCTCTAATTCATCTTTATATTTCCAACTGTTTAGCAGGATACTCTGCATGTCTTATACCTTCAAATTTTGTTAAAAGGTCATCGACTGAATTCGGCTTGATTTTTGAAGGCCATCTCTAGAGTATTTTGATGCATACACTAAACATGGTATTCCTGAGATAATCAGAAGAGGGAACATTGGGGATGGATCATGCTATGCAAAGGTTAGGACTACAGACTGGATTTAAGATCTCAGTGCTGTAAGGAATTCCCAAGTCAAGAAATTGCCTTTACCAAAGCAGTTCAGTAACTTCTCTGCAAATTAGCCTCTTGTCTCTGATCACACAGCCAGGACACATCAGAGAGAGGACTTGAAATCAGATCTCCCAGTCTTCAAGTCTTACCTTTCTATCCACTCTGATATTGTCTTTCAGGAACAAAGAGGAGACAGGATCATAACTTAAATGTTATAAAGCAAAAGGCTTATTATTAGGTGCTTTTGGGTATTTCAATGAAACAAAGGCATAGAGAGGAATAGGAAAACATAATCACTGCTAAAACAAATTATCATCTCTAAAACTATATTTGATTCAATAAACATTTACCAAGGACCTGTGAGTTACTAAGCTAGGTTGACAAAAGTGAAAGCATCCCTGCTTTACATTCTACTGAGGGCAGAGACAGAAGTCTTACACAAGTACATCTAATATAAATAAAACTGAGGAGAGAAAACACTAAGGAGGGAAGGGTGTTAGGAAAGTCTTTAGGAAGGAGAAACCCGAGCTGAGCCTAAATGGACAGCAAGGAATCTGAGAGGCAAAAATGCAGAGGGAGGGCATTCTAGGTATCGGCTTGTGAGACTGCACAGAGGCCAGATTTGGAAAGCTGAGTTTAGGAAATAGTGAGTAGTATGCTTTGGCTGGACAAGGGAAATAGGAAAACACAGGTGCCAGCCAGATTGTGGAAAGCCTTAAATGCACATTAAGGAGTTTGTATGCAACAGCAATATTCTTAGCCTTTCTTTGGTTTTCAACATCATCATAATCATGATGTCACACAGCTTCTAAGGGAGCTCTCAAATTTTCCTTATGGTATTTATATCTACAAATGTTTGATTACTCCTAGAATCCCAGTGGATAATGTCCTTTGTGAAGTAGAGAGCAGCATGGCTAACATTGCCCACCCTGTGAAGCAAAAAGCAGACAAGCAATGGCTTTGTGTTATTCTTTGGTGACGTGCCACTATTTTAAGATGCTATTTTTGAGCTTTGTTCACTTTGATTTCTGGTTATCTGATCACCATTTGTATTTTATCCAATGAAATAAAAATCATTTGAAGGAATGACATCATTTATCTTTTTTTGGGTTCTTTTCCTAGTTTGCAGACACATCTGAGAAAGCAAAGGCATCACCCTCTGCAGATATGTAAATACTAACTTAATCTTGGAACCTCTCTAGCTCATTGCTGCCTTTAGATGAAAGCTCATTTTCATAGCTGACAAGGTCAGGGCTCCACTTGGCTAAATTCAGCAAAGATGATGGAAATAGAAAAAAAAAATCACAGTGCATTAGACATTTCCTTCTGTTATGACAACATGGTCTTTAGAAGCAACACAGTTTGTTCCTGACAACAACCATAAGTCAGTGATGTAGAAAATCTTATACAGAAATATCTAAATGACAGAGACCTTTAAGATTATGCTTTCAAAATATTTTGAGTGGCAAAAATGCTCATCACCAGAGATGGTGCTTAAATTGACTTTGTGACCAGAAGCAGAAATAGCGGCTTGAGGATACGTCTTCCAGTGTCAAACATGGGATGACAAGTGAAAAATGCACTCAATTACAAGGAAGCTTTAAAAAAAATCTAGTAAGTTGGTACCATATATAGACATAACACATTTAAGATTGTTTCCCTAAACCTTTTTCTACATGGTTTTGTGCCCAATCAATAATCAATCAATAACCATTCATTAAGCACGTATTATATGCCAGGAACATATGCTAGATATTGGGAATAAAAAACACAACAATGAACTATTCCCTGCCCTCAAGGAGCTTCTATTCTCTCAGAGGACAGAACATGCACAAATGAGTATACACATAATAAACATAAGATAGTTGCAAGGAGAAAGCATAGTTTATGTTTTGTATATGCAATAGTAAGGCGGAACATTCTCAGCCTTTCTTTGGTTTTCAGCACCATCACAATCATGATATCACACATCTTGTCAGGGAGCTCTCAAGTTTTCCTTATGGTTTTTATATTTACAAGTGTTTTGATCATGCCTAGAATCCCAGTGGATGATGTCCTTTATGAAGTAGAGAATAGCATGGCTAGCATTGGCCACCTTGTGTAGCAACAGGCAGGCAAACAGAGGCTTGTGCTGTTCTTTGATGACATATCGCTATTTTAAGAAGCCATTTTGGAGTTTCATCCACTTTGATTTCTGGTCATCTGTATGACCAGAAATTTTCTCAGTATGGCTATAGGCTTAAAAAAATCTCTAAAGCAAAAGGAATTTCCATGTCATCAAGTTTAGCTCATATAGAAAATATGACTACTCTATTACATCTAATGATAAAAAGTCAAATAACTTGTTTAATGATTTCAGTGAGAGGGAACTCATTACCTCCCAAGGTAAATTGATTTTCTTAAATCCCATTAGCTCCCTATTTATTTACAGGAATAAATATAAAACCCTCTTTTGGGCTATTGTAACCTTCCATAACCTGGCCCTTGCCTATCTTTTTAGTCTTTTTTTATGTTTTATTCCCTTCCACACATTCTATGATTTAGCAACACTGACGCCTTGCTATTCCTCAAAGAAGATACTTCATCATGTAATTCCAGGTTTTTTCCCTGGCTATCTCATATGCATCAAACCTTCTCTCCCTCTTCATCTCCATTTCCAGGCTTCCTTCAAGTTTCAGTTAAAGTCTCCTCTTCTACAAGAAGCCTTTCCTAGTCTTCTTTAATCTTAATGTCTTCCTTCAAGATCATCTTCAACTCATAACTCTAATGTCTTTTTTCTACACAGTTGTTGGCATGTTGTCTCTTCCACTAGACTATGAACTTGTTGAGAAAAGGGGCTTCTATTTTCAACCTTTCTGCTTTATGTAATATATCATTTTCTCATAAATGATAGTGATGTCATGAGTGGTGGAGGTTGGGATATGGCCTTACAATATTTTTCAGTTTGTTAGAGAAAAGTAGCACAGATACACTTACATAGAGATTGAAAAAAAGGGAGTAAGCTTAATTATATTTCAAGAGTTACCATACTCCTGGGTGACTATTTCAAGATTCTTTTTAGATGCTCTGAAAATGTTAACATGAAAAAAATCATAGAAAATCAGAGTTATCATCTAACACATGTTTCCAAGCCCCCCTTTGGATCCTCATAGGAAAATGATGTAAATTAATTTCAGTCACTTTTTGACTTTCACCTATCTAGTCAAATCATTTTGTAGTGTTATTCAAGTCTTTGTAAACATCTCTGGTGATGAAGCTCATTAAAAATCTCTCTGTGTAACTCAGGTTTCCTGATGGCTTCAATCATCTTGATTAAGACTCTTGAACAATTATGCAGTGCTGGTAGGGTGGACTGGTGGAGGTTATGTTACATATTCTCTGGTTGTCTTTTGAATACTGTATAGTATAGTAGACAGATCACTGGACTTTTAGATTCTAGGTTCCAGGTCTGACCCTGCAATTTACTGTCTGAGCTTAGAAAAATTAGTTAACTACAATGGGAGAAGAAAATACGGTCAAGTGTAATGAGTCAGAGTGTGAAGTGAGTATCTAGAGTTGAAGACCTGGGTTTGAATTCTAACTCATCTACTTTTTACTTCTAGGGGACTCATCTTCCTCATTTATAAAATGAAGTTTGATTAGGTGACCTCTAAGGCTCCTTTTAGACAGATAGGTGGTTATAGTAGATGGTGTGCTGGACCTGGAGTCATTTTCATGAGTTCAAATGAACTCATTTTCATGAGTTCAAATCTGACCTCAGACACTTAATAGCTGTGTGACCCTGGCAAGTCATTTCATTCTATTTGCCTCAGTTTCCTCCTTTGTAAAATGAGCTAGAGAAGGAAATGGCAAACCACTCCAGTATCTTTGCCAAGAGAACCCCAAAAGGGGTCATGAAGAGTTGGACACAACTGAAAAATGACCAAACAACAAGACTCTTTTTAGTTTGGAATCTGAGGTCCTATGACCACTGGTCCCTAGTTTCCTCATGTACAAAATGACACTGTTGGACTAAATGATCTGTAAGGTTCTCAACAGCTCAAAATCCTATGATATCAGGGACCAGGGATATATACTCAATAAGCAGATATACTCCATGAGGTATATAACTTGACCTTTGAAACGAATAGTTTTTTCACATTGCTTTAATTGAAAAAATATGTATGAAATGGCAAGAACTTCCTAAGATTAATACTAATATGGTGTGAAAAGGAAGGACAAAAGACTTTACTGTACCTGAAGGGCATCCTGATATTCATCCTCTCTGCATATTTGCACAGTGTATCCCATGGGCAGTGGATTTTGACAAACATGATATCACTATTCGTAATGGATTGCTGTAACGGAGAGCAAGAAAGGCATCATGAATGAGCTAGAGAGTGGATGCTAAACTATGTAACCTCATTTTCCCAGGGAAATCTTCTCTCTTAGAATAAAAGAGATCATATCTGACAAGTTGGAGAGCATCCAGCAGAAGGTAATTAGGATGGCAAGGAATCTCAGGACTCTGCCATGTCAGGAACGATTAAAGGAGCTGGAGGATGTTTAGTCTAAAGAAGAAATTCCTAGGAAGGGCATGATATCTGTCTTCAAGTATTGGAAGGGCTGGCATGTACAGACACTACTTCATCAGTTTATCAATTGCTCTAGGAACATTTGTACCCATAAATTCCTGTAGTCCCAACTCCTAACACCATGGCTCCTTCAGGACTCTCTCTCTCTCTGAGGAAGAAATCATATTGATTATGGAAATGAGGCTAGAAGAGAGGACAAGGAAAGAACAGAGGTTCTAATTTAGGGGGGGCTTCAATATCTTTGAAGGTTGACCTAAGAGGCACATTTTTTTTTCACTCCAGTGTTGAAGTGGTTCAGTAGATGATACTTTGAAATGCAGAGCAAAGAATGTACTAATTTCCATTTCAAAGAGATAAAAGAAAAGGATGTCCAAATTCTACAATTAATGTCCCAACCCAGGAAAAATCACACATACAAACATTTATTTAACTGCTCCATCAAGTATATGGTTCGTGTCAGTGGCTGAAGCCCAGCCATGGGCCATGGTTCTTACTTAACTAACTGTCCTTCAAACATTTTGACACCTATTCAGTTGAAGTGAAATTGCTCCAGGAGGCAATTATTGTTACTTAGATGAGACAATAGCTTCATCCACTCTTGCGGTATTAAACAACTTGGCATTATGAGAAGATCTTGTAAGGAAGTCTTTTTGGAAAGAGTGTTGTATTTGGAATTAAATGACTTGGGTTGAATCTGGGGCTTGGCCAGGGTGATTCACTGAAATGGTCCAGACATTCTGGAAAGCAATTTGGAATTATGATCCTAGAGTTAGTGAACTATTCATGCCCTTTGACTTGGCAACAACAATATTTTGCAGTGGTATTGGCCTATATTCCAAAGAGATCAAAGAAAGAGGAAGGAATCCTATATGTAAAATAATATTCACAGTGTATCTTTTAGTATTGGCAAAGAACAAGAAGCACTGAGGGTGCCCATGAATTGGAGAATGATCAAACAAATTATGGTATGTAATTGCCATGGAATACTATTGTGCTCTGAGAAATTAACAAAGAGATGGCTTTAGCCAAACCTGGGAAGACTTGTATGAAGTATTGTAGAATGGAGTGAGGAGAATATATTACATTTGCTATATGGGAGTTTGGGGGGGGGTTGGTATATAACATTTCAAGGATTGGCCATCATATCTGGTAGTATGCCACTGCCCCCTTGGGCAGCTAGGTGGCACAGTGAATAAAGCACTAGGCCTAGAGTCAGGAAGCCTCATCTTCTGAGTTCAAATCTGGCCTCAGATACTTACTAACTGTGCAACCCTAGGCAAGTCAATTAACCCTATTGGCCTCAGTTTCCTCATTGGTAAAGTGAGCTGGAGAAGGAAATGGCAAACCATTCTATTATCTTTTCCAAGAAAACTCTAAAAAGAATTGGATACTACTGAAATGACTGAACAACACTGCCCTCTTTGGTATTATTAATTGTGTCAAATTCTGTTTCCTGCAGGAAGTCTTTTCTGGTCCTCAAAGCTGATAATACTTTCACTTTACTTTTGTCAACTTTTTACATATCTTGCATGTATTTAGTTATTTATATGTTTCATCTATTACAGCATAGGTTGCTTGTGGTTAGGGTTTTTTCCCTTCTTCATTTTGTATTGCCAGTGCTTAACATAGCATCTAGCACATACTAAGTGATAAATTGACTCAAATGATTTGGCCAGGGTTATGGTCTCCATGTAAAAGTAGGCACACAAGATCCTCTGTGTGCCTGAGTTCCCTCTCTGGGAAAGGCACATCTACATTTAAGCATTAACGATTGGAGGAAACTGAGCTCTGGATAAGTCTAGTTGACCTATCAAGGGTATACTAATGGCCTAGAATGAGAATTATCTTTTAGGCCAGGCTTTCTCATAGGGCCTTCTTAGAGTTCTAACATTATAAAACTCCACCCTTACCTATGAGATGAGGGAAGAAAACAGGGGAGAGATGTCAGCTGTCACAGTCCACTTCATGGAAAATAATTATTTCACATTGTACTTCATTTATCTAAAAATCAAAATCCCAATATACTGAATATAAATGATTCATATCTTTTGAAGTTGTCTTACTTCAATGGCTCCCACCTTTTCCCTGAATATTCTAAGGACAGATTGAATTTTCTTCTTCCCCACCTCTCTGTTTAAAAAAAAGTCCATCTGCCCAATTTCAGGCCTCTAGAGATAACAATATATCGGCAAAGTTACTCTAATTCAACTAACTTTCATATCTATTATCTCACTTTGGGCATCATAATATTATTTTGGGATGGCTGGGGAAAGCATTATCATTATTTCACTACAAATCGTTCATTATAAAGTAAAGAAAATGAAGCACAAGAGATAAAGTGGCTTGCAGTAGGTGACTAGAGTGCTGGACTTAGAATCAGGAAAACCTGAGATGTAGCTTCAGATACTTATGAGTTGATGTTGGGCAATGAATTTCACCTTGCTCTGCCTCAGTTTCTTTTTCTGTAAAATGAATGGTTTGGACATGATGGTCCGCCAGCTCCCTTCCAGTTACAAATAAAAAGATCCCATGAAGTCTCATGGTGGCCAGTCTACTATCACCCCACCCCCTGACTGGTATTATCTCTAGTAGATTCCTCCCCATCTCTGCCAACATTTTGCTTCCTCTCTCACAGATTTTTTTTTAAAGCATATTCTGACATAGAAAAATTCCTTAAGTTCCTCCTTTTTCCTAAATAATATTTTTCCATTTTCTCAGATTCACTGCTGAGTTATACAGAATAGTATGTCTAGGAGAGGTTATCATCCATGTTAGATAAGAGGCTTCTTTCAATCACGTCATAGACTTTCCCAGGGTCACATAGGTCATAAGTGGTAGAGCTGGAATTCCAATGCAAGCTTTCTTGACTCCAAATCCAGCATGTTCCACTGCCCCCTACCCAAATCAGGGGTTGTTTGGGGGAAAGGGGTAGGGGTTGAATGAAGGCAGGAATTCTATGCCAGGAGCTATGCTGAGTACCTTACAAAATATTAGGTCATTTGATCCTCGCAACAACCTTGCAATAATCCTTACAACAAAATCTCCCTTTTCAGCTTCCTTTTATGTCATCTTCCCTTTTAAACTGTAAGTTCCTTGAAGGCAGGAACTGTCTCTTTATTATATTTTCAGGTCTCCCATTGCACCCAGGGCCCTCACCAGTTATCCTGATTAATATCTTGCCATTGGACCCAGATGGCTCAGGAGGAAAGAGTGAGGCTGGTAACTTTGCACAACCCTCCATCACTATAATCCAATTCACTTACAAATCATGGCATCGCCTCCCTGAAGTCATGGTCCCCTTCGAGAATGAAGGACCAACAACAACAATAACATAATGGGAATCCACTTTGGGAAGTATGGCCTACTGCAATGTTCCCTGGAAGAGTGGAGATTTCTGGAGAAAGACTGCAGAATTCTAGGCTACCTGAAGATTGCAGCACCAGTCTGGAAGCATAACCTAGGCTTAAGAGATCATTGCAGGAATTTTCTGTGATGTGATCTGGTCTCACGGCCTGTGAGCTAGCATACATCTGAAATTGTCTTTCCAAGGCATTCTCCTCCCCTTATAATTATTAAGGACTATCAGAGAAGTGACAAAATCCTTTCAAGAAAAGATAACAATTTTACAACTAAAAAAAAAATGGCAGCTAGGTGGTATGGTAGATAAAGTACTTGACTTAGAGTCAATTAGGTGTATGACCCTGAACAATTCCTTTAACCTCCTCCAGTCCCAGATTCCTCATCTATAAAAAGAGGACAACAATAGCAACTATTTCACAGGGATGCTATGATAATAAAATCAGAACATATATATATATATATATATATATATCTCATAAAACTTAAAAGACTATATAAATAATAGGTATTATTATTATTATTTATCATGAAATAACTATAATGATGATACTAACAGTGTCATATAATTGTTTTTAGCTTGAAGAGTCCTTAAAATAAACTAGCTCAACTACTTTATTTTAAAATCAAATAATATAGAACATAAGGTCCTTGAAGGCAGGAAGGGCTTTCTTCATGTCTTTGTATTCTTAGAGACTAGGAAAGGCAGCAAGGCATGCTGGGTAGAGAGTTGACCTCAGAACCACAAAGAACTTGACCCAGTTCCTCCTCGGACACATACTAGCTATGTGACCCTGAGCAAATCACTTAACTTTTCTGTCCCATTCTAAGAATATAAGTGACCAATAAGGTGCTGACTTTCGTTGGTAGAGCTTCCTCTTCCAGAAGTTTCCTCTGTCAATGCAATCTTAGGTTCAGCTCCAATCCCCAGTTGTTAGCAAAGCACTCTGTATTCAAATACAAGTTTTACAAATCCCTGTTGCAGGCTGAATAAAAGGATTTTAGAAGAGGAGAAGCAAAGTAACTTGGGAAAGATCACAAAGCTAGTTAGAGACAGAAAGGCCAGTAGAAGAACCCAGTCACAGCTCCTGGTCCAGTTCTCATTGTATGCTCAGCTATAACTGTCTCTGACTCTTCAGTGGCTTTCCAGAAATGAGCCAAGACGGGGGCAGGAGAGGTCATAGGCAAAGATATTCGGGAATAGGACTCAGTGGCGGACACTCTCCTATTTCCAGGAAACAGCATTCACGGCACCCCTGCTTTGCTTTAAGGCTAACACGTTTTTGAAAATGTGCTTCAGAACAGCATCTCTGCATGACAACGTCTCTGCCATCAGCTATCGAAATGTCAGGCCAAGTGCAAACCCAGCTAGAAGGTTTCTCCTTTTGTACTTTCCCTCTGAAATGTAAGATGTGTCTCTGCCTCCTCCACTTAATCTCCCTTTTCTCATTTCTCCTCTTTTAGAGAGGAATAATTGTGCTTGTAGCAGCAGGAAAACTGAGTACCTTTGCTTCAGAAAAGAAAGCTTGGCATCTGGCACTCCTCGATTTGGTGGAGGCACACTTTTCAACATGAACAGAACGCCCACTGCCTTCACCCTTCACATCTTTATTAAATTATTCCACCCCACATTCCCAAGAGGTAAAGCCTTTATGTTTCACAGATGCTAAGCCAGAAGCCCTGAAAAGCTTGGCGACTTGCACAAGTCACACTGTAAGCCCTGAGTTACTGCTCTAAAGAGGAAGGATAGTGACAAAAAGCTTGATCTGGAAGGGTGTCAGGATTCTAGAGCTGGCCATTCCACTAAGAAGCTGTGCAACACTGGGTAAGTCACTCTAGGCCTCAGTTTATTCACCTACAAATGAAAGGGCTAGGTCAGATGTCTTCTTGAAAATCCCTCCCTGCTTTAAAATTCTGTGAGAATATTCTCTAGCTTGGCCAATCCTATAAATTATCAAATGTTTGGGTAGTGGTTGGCATAGGTTCAATTTAATTTAATTCAAGAAGGAAAAAAAATAACAACCATTAGGGCCCAACTATGAGCAAAGCACAATGGTAGAATTGGGAGATATGGAAACAAAGGGAGAGAGGGAGGGTGACATGAAACATATAAATAATAAGTATACATTGTGTACCAACAAAATAGTACACACTAATTGAGAGACAGATAGATGGGGGTGGAGAGGGAGAGGGAGAGAGAGAGAGAGAGAGCACACAGTAGAACATGTAGGAAGCTCACGGATTGTTGTATATAACAAACAGCTAGCAAGTACTCCTAGTTCAATATGTGGCATGTAATAAGTGCTTTATACATGCTCCCAATTGAATTGAATGTTTGAGCATCTTTTCTTTTCAGATAGACTGCAATCTTCTTGAGCTCAGGAGCGCAGGGATGAGAATAGATTAATTATTGAATGCATGCTTACCGATTCATCATCAATAAAACATGTGTGCGAATTGTGAGGAATGATTAGGGCTGTTAGAGTAGTGGAAGGGATACCAAATTCCACTAGCCCTATGACTACTGCTAAGTCCCTCCTTCAGCTCTCTGATGCTCAGGTTACTGCTTCCCAGCTCTGAAGCAGTATATTACTGCTATATATACTGGTATATTACCATAGAATAGAGACTAGTTCTATTATTTAAATATACACATATATAATAGTATATAAACTAGTATACTATACTAATATTTATGTGTATATATATATTATGTATTCTTTGCTATTATACATTATATATAATATGTATATATATAAACACACACATGCACATATATACACATAAATACAATCATATATGTACATATCTATTTATCTATCTATCTATCTATCTATCTATCCATCTATCCATCTATCTCCTAGTATAGAGAAGGGGTAGCTAGGTGACACAGTGGATAGAGTGACAGGCTTGAAGTCAGGAAGACTCATTTTCCTAAGTTGAAATATGGATTCAGACACTTGCTGGGTAAGTCACTTAACTCTGTTTGCCTCAGTTTCCTCACCTGTAAAATGAGCTGGAGAAGGAAATGGCAAACCACTCCAGTATCTTTGCCAAGAAGACCCCAAATGGGGATACGAAGAGTCAGACACTACTGAAACCACTGAACAATAGGAAATTCCCTCTACTAATACAAGTCAGCATCTTCTCTGCAATGGATGGTCTTAGTTGCCTACAACTTATAGGAGATTGACTAGGTCAGGGTCAAACAGTGAGTATGCGGCAGAGGTAGGATGTAAACTCAAGTCATTCTGACATCAAGTTGACTCTTTCGACTACGCCAACCTTTATAGACAACATAAATACCAAAGGCCTGAATGAGAAGTCTAAAAGAAATATTTCTTTATTCCACTTAAATGTAGGCAATCATTTTACAAAAACATCCTCAAGCTAACAAAAGCATTAAAGTCACCAAATTTTCATGACCCTGGATTTGGGAAATGGCCAAATAGACAGTGGTTTGTGTAACTTCCATCTGCTCATCTTTGCACTGGCATTTCCCTTTCCTACTCCCTCGCCACCTCTTTAACCTAGAGACCTTTGTTTGTCTGTTTCAAAACTCAAGTTTGACTTTCTTTGTTTTTGTTGTTCAGTCATGTCTGACTCCTCATGACCTCATGGATCATAACACGTCAGGCCTTTCTGTTTCCCACCATCTCTCAAAGTCTGTCCAAACTCATATTCATTGTTTCCATGACACTATCTATCCATCTTATCCTCCGTCATCCCCTTTTACTTTTGCCTTCATTTTTCTTTCTAACATCAGGGTCTTTCCCAATATGTTCCATCTTCTCATTATGTGGCCAAAGTATTTAAGCTTCAGCTTCAGTATTTGACATTCCAGTGAATAGTCTGAATTAATTTCTTTAAGCACCGGCTGATTTGATCTCTTTGCTGTCCAAGGGACTCTCAAAAGTCTTCTTTAGCACCACAATTCAAAAGTGTTAATTGTGTGGCATTCAGCTTGACTTTCTACCTGCAGCTTTTTCTGACCCATCAGCTGCTGGTACCCTCCCCAACTGAAATTTATCTTATATTTATTTTGTACCTACTTATTTATGACTTTCCCCACCTGAGAATAACTCCATCTTGAGACCTGCTTGATAAGTGGCAATTAGGTCCCTACCTAGAATCTACATAGCTTGAAGAACTCCCTCTCCAGTCTGCTCCCTTGAAATTAGGGTTCTTGTTCTCTTTCTAGTCTACTCCACATTCCCGCCAGCTGCTTTCCACTTACTTTGTTTTAGTTCCCGGTTATGTTTTGTCTTCCACTCTAAAGAATGTAAGATCCTTGAGAAGAGGGACTGTCTTGTTTTTCGTAACCCCAGGCTTTAGCACAGGGTCTGGTATATAAAGAGGTGCTTAATACATGCTTGCATGAACGTCCATTCATCCATCTATGTACCTTTATTGTCTTCCTTAATAAAATGTAAATTCCATAAGGGCAGAGAGTTTTTCATTTCTGTCTTTGTATACTGTATGTCAGGCGTTACTGAGAAAAGAGTTAATATGTGCTTGTTAATAGATTAATTGATTACTGCACCCATAAGACACGGTGAACATGAGGAGTTCAGAGAAGCAGAAAGATGTGTATGAACTGGTGCAACACCATAAATAAGCAGAGCCATAAGAACAATATACACAATGGCTCCAGTAGTGTAAATGAAAAGGAAGATAAAAGGTGGCTGAACTCTTGAGTGAGTGAAAAAATGATTGCCAAGATCAGAGAAAAGAAAATGAAATAAAACTCCCTCCTTTTGACAGAGAGTCAGGGAACCTCTATAGGCACACATTGTCAGAAGCAGTCACAGTTATTGATCATGTTTGTTTAGCTATTTTTCTTTCTCTAAGGAAGGGATTAACTCCAGAAGTAGAATCTTGAAATTACAGTAATGCAAAAACAGAAGTCATTGATAAGACTTAAAAAAAATCCTCAGTTATTAAAATAGTGCACAAAAAGAATTCATTTTTGAGTTGAGCATATTTCTAAGCATGTATATTTTCACCAGGGAATGAATGGAATAAAGATTCATACCTCTCTTTCCAACATCAAGCCTTCTTCTCTGAGGTTCCTTTCAAATGTACTCCTTTTCTCTACCTGAAGGCTAGATTTTTTGTACACCAAGATGTAATCGATGCGCTTTTTTCCATCTTTGAAAAAGAGACTCGGTGTTGCTGCGACTTTCTTCTCCTTCTGCAAAGACAGGAATCCAAAAAGGACAAGATGGTGACCAGTCTAGATCAACACAAACAACTGAGGCAACCATTGGTGAGCAGCTTCAGTGTTTTCTCTTTTGTCAAAGTCCCATTAGCCAAAATTATCTTCCAGTGAACAGATTAAAGATTTTTACTGAGTATACTTACCATGTGAGGATAAAAGTAACTGATGGTTTTATAATCCCTTAAGGGTTGCCTAATACTTTACATAGATTATCTCATTTGAATCTTACAAGGATAATGATGTAGTATTTATTAAAGACTTACAATGTGCCAGGTTCACCATACTGAGTAATGTGAATAGAAATTCAAGAAATCAAGACTATACTTTGAGAACCATTGATTTAGCAAGTAATGAGAAACTTTCTCCTCATGTACTGTGAAAAGATATGAGTTTGTTTTTGAATAAATTTTACTCAGGTATCACTTAACCGATAAGTATTTATTAAGCACCTGTTATATGGGAGGCATTGTGCAGGGCATTGAGCATATAAAGACAAAAACAAAGCAATTCCTGCCTTGAAGGAATTTATGTTCCTTGTTAGTAGTTCTGGGTGTGCTTTATTTCTTAAATTAATTGTGAGATTTATTAAAAAGGCCATTTTAATAGTCATATATCCTCCAACCTCCAAATCAATACTCCATATTTTTATAACAAATTATTCATATTACCAGGACAATAGAGTAATTTGCTACCTGAAGCTTGGGCTTAGAATAGTATCTGAGGGAATTAGGTGGCACAGTGGACTTTGAATCAGGAAGATCAGTTAAAATCTGACCTCAGACATTTAAACCAGCTGTATGACTCTGGGAAAGCCACTTAACGTCTGTCTGCCTCAGTTTCCTCAACTGTAAAATAAGGATAACAATAGCACTAATTTCCCAGGGGTGGGTTGTGAAGATTCAATGGGATAGTTTTTCTTCTATATTCACCTTGAAAAGTTCTTATCCTGAGGTCTGCTGATGAATTTGTTTTTGTTTTTAAAGGGATAACTATTTCACAATAACTGGTTTCCTTTGTATTTCTACGCATTTTATTTCATTCATTTAAATCACGACTTAGAGAAGGAGTCTTTGGACTTCATCAAACTGTCGAAGGAGACCCATGACACAAAAATGATAAAGAATCCCTGGGTTAGGAGGTACTTGAAAAGTTATCTGTAGTGGGCACAGTGATATACGGCACCCTAGGGACCCTAGGAGGACATCCACTCCACCTCCTTCAATTTATAGATGAGGAAACAGTTTCAGAGTGCTTGAGTGACTTATCCAAGGTCACAAGTGGTAGTATCAGAATTAGAATTCAAGTTCTCTTGCCCCAAATACAGAAGTGTTTTCTAAACCTTCAAGTGCTATGTAAATATTACCTCTTATCATTATTACTCTTATTATACCATGCCAGATGTCCTATGTACCAATGTATGTGTATAATTCCATTTGCTCTCTCTTTCTGTCCCCAATATGTATATGTATATATACACACATCTATATCTATCTACCTTTTTTATCTATCTTTCATTTGATTGTGACAACCTCATAAAGTAGGTGTTATTATTATCATTATTTATTTGTCATAGGGGGAAACTGAAGATGACAGAGGTCAAGTGATTTATCCAGTGCCACATCCCTTGTGTCTGAATCACGATCGGAACTCAGGTCTTCTGTACTCCAAAGACCAAGGACAAGATTTGGGACCTGATTTAGATACATTGGGTGAGAAAAGGTGATGCCTCCATTTGCCATCCTGGGTGACTAGGAGGGTGGTGGTGGGTGCTTCCCCAGGCCACCTAGCTATCTGAGTGAAGAGTAAGAAAAAAACAATGCCTGCAAGTAGCATTGGATGGGCAGGCAGGATGGAGGTACTCACAGAGTAAGAAGTCCTGTTTTTCAGCCAGGGTGGGTGGGACAGAAAATACTTCATGCCACAGGATTGTTTTCTGTGGCTTCTCACAAGAACTGTTAAGGCCAATGAGGCAATAAGGGAATTCCAGGTTTGCTGTACATTGTACCAAACTCTAAATAATGAGCTCAGTTCTCAGACCTTTAGAATCTCAATCTAAACTCACTAAAGGCCCTGTGACATTTCAGACAAATGGGAAGCACTTTCTCATAGCTCGTCACACATTTAAAATTCTATGGAAGAAAATCCAATTAATTAACAAGCACATAATTCATCCTGCCTTTCAGAGAAGTGATTCTTCACCAAAGACAGGGATTCAGGATGTCCTCTAGAATTAGTCAAGATTCTGGCCTATCACAAGCATTTTCCTCTTTAAAAAAATTAGTTCATTGGGAGAGGAATATTTTTTCTCTTGTCTTAGAGATTTGACAGTAAGTGACATATGTATATTTGATATATATGATATATAAAAAATGAATTTGATATATAAAATGGATTTGATACATAAAACGAATACGTATGTTGATACGGGTGATATCTACATTGCTGGATGGTTTGCTAAATAAAGGAAATGGAGATACGACTTACACTTGTGATTTCATGGGAAATAGAAAAGTCCCTGGTGTGGAAGTACCTTCTACCAGTGTGGATTAGCAACTTCTTTGCAATTTAGTGTTTTAAAGAACTGTCTAGATTACTGAGAGGCTAAGTGACTAGCCCCGAGTCATACAGCCAGGGTACGTCAGAGGTAAAGAGGTGTACCCAGGTCTTCCTGAGTTCACTATGTTGTGCTGCACAACACTTGATATATTTATTGTTGTTCAATCTTTCTTCAGTCACGTCTGACTCTTTGTGATCCCATTTGGGGTTTCCTTGGCAAATACTTAATAACTTCTTGTTGATTGGCTGATAGTTAAATCAATTCTAATGAAGGAGACACACAGTCAGATATCTACCAGAGTATGTTTTCTTTCATCATTGCCTACATTAAAATTAACATTCATACTTATACAGTGCTTAAATCTATATGACTCAATCCTCACAATAACACTGTAAGGCCACTAAGGGAAATTACTATCATCTTCATTTGGCACTTTGGATTGCTGAGGCTCAGAGGTTGAACAGTTTGATCAGGGCCTTTTTACTAGTGACTGAACTAAGAATTTGACCAAGGTAGTGGTGAGCTAGTAAATAATTAACCACAACTTTGTGAAAAGAAGGATACATATGACTCACTCCAGTTTATTCTACAGTATTAATATTTTCTCCATCACTTTTTTAAGGTTGATAATTGACAAAACAATAAATTAAGCCCTGAATGTTAGCGTTTTCTGAATTCTGAGGTATAAATGATCACATTGAAAATTTAACAATCTAATCTCATGAACTCTAGCTGTCTTTAGCAAACCACTGAAACATGGTACCCTCACTTGGAGTCTAAGACTTTGTGCAACATACCACACTTTTGTGATGCCACTTTGGGTAATGAGGTATAGCAGAAAATCTGGATTCATAGTTAAGACGTACCTGAGTTTTAACCCAAACCATGTCACTAATTCCTCAGGTGACAGGCAAGGGACTTCCTCTTTCTGGTTTTCGTCTTTCATATTTGTCAAAGGAGAACACAGGATGAGATGACCTTTCATCAATCAACATTAATTAAGTACCTACTATGTGCTAGGTGTTGTGTTAAGTATTGGGGATACAAAAAGAAGCAAAAGACAATTCCTACCCTCACAGACCTAATGGAGGAAACATGCAAATGTATGCAAAGCAAGTTAAATACAGGATAAATAGGAAATAATTAACAAAGTTCTTCTTAGGTCTAACTGGATTCTACCATTCTATCATCTGATATTACTCTCAGCTTGATATCAGAAAAGCTACATATAGCAAAGATGTAAAGTTGAAAAGAACACTGAGTTCGGGGTCAGAGTTCAAGTTCCTATTCTTTTTTTAAACCACGTCATCTTTGGCATGTGACTTAACATCTCTGGCCTCAGGTACCTCATCTACAAAATGGGTAGAGAGATGGTTGGACCAGATGACCTCTGAGGTCTCTTCCATTTTTTTAGTTCTATGTAATCATGAAATGCCAAGTTATTGCACATGGTTAGGAAATGGGTCATAATAGAGAGGAAGATGCCATATATTTCATGGATTAACACTTTCAAAGAAACATAGTAGAATGCAATAGAAGATAGATGAACACTAAAATGACAAGGAAAAATAAAAATAACTGATATGTATAGGGCACAAAGCCTTTAATACATATTATCTAATTTGTGTCTCATAACCATTTTGAGAGGCAGGATTTTTTACCCAGGGCTTCAAGTGTAACAATCACTTTCACTCCTTGTCTCTGCCTCACAAATCAAGAGAAAATCCTCTTTCTTTTTTTTTTTTTAATGACTCAGGAAGGTCCTTCAGCATCTTGCAGTCTCATTATGGATGCTTGGGTTTGGACCAGAGACGTACAGCTATCTTAAGCAATATCGCCAGATCTCACAGTTGGATTCACAGTGATATTGATGCATTCTACTATCCCACATGCTAAGTACATCTTCTGCACTGAGAAAAGCCCTGCAATCAACACCTTCAGTAAAAGATTAGCACTGACCTATAATGAAGACTAGAGGAAAGAGCCCTAGAGGATGTGTCTGGAGGCCCATCTTGCAGTCCTACACCTGTGCTACCAATACATACCCTGTGTGATTTCAGTCATGTCACTTCTCTGGGTCTCAGCTCCTCACCTGTAAATTGGGCCACTGGGACTAGATGATCCCTCCCATTCCCTGATGACCAATGAACTCCTAAATATTTACTTAAAGCTTGGCAATTAATGCTGCTATATTCCTAGATCCATTTTAAGTAACTTGTAAAAAATATTCTATTTAATGTACTTTATCAATGTCATATCATAAAGTAGAGGCCCCAACAAAGGCTACAACAGTCCAGATCTTACTAGATTTGAAAATCCTCAAGTATGACTTGGTAAAGGACTTTATGTCAATTTTCTAAGGAACTGCTTAAACTAGTACAAATAATAGGATCAGACTTAGAGCTTGAAAGGACCT